TCAACACATAATATGGAGGTGATGAAGATAACGGTAATGTCATTATACTGTGAAGATGTTGATTCTAAAGGTGCGAAAGCCCATTTCAAAATATTTATATAAAAATGTATATAAAACATAGCGGCTAAGAGGACCTGCAATCCATCAAAGGAGATTTTTTTTGTATGACGGTGTGAATAATAGGTGGACTTCATTTAATTATCTTATCATTGATTCAATGATGATGATTCAATGCAAAAAATCGTATTCATACAAGTCAATATAACGTACATATAAAAATTAAATATAATTTTATTCATTATTATTATTATAAATTGTATTTACTAAGTAATATATATATATATATATATATATATATATATATATATATATATATATATATATATATATATATATATATATATATACAAAATATAAAATACAAAAAAACACAGAACACAGCTCCATCCCAAATGGCTGGTTAAGAGCTCATACATTATAATAACATTGATTTATATGCTCTGTTTGAGAGCAACACCATACCATCAAATATTATTCCTTTAGCTTTCTAGATATTATGTTAGAGGTCACAACAATTGATAAACATTTGACCGGTTGCCATGCCGAATTAGAATATTATATTTTCTGCTGGAAGCACTCAGACATTTTATTACACTGATGATTTTATTTGCAGAACCTTTTAATGGATTTTGAATATCAAGGACTATTAAATCTATAATTTAATAAATTCACTCTTGTTGCTGGTAATGTGTAAAGACAGATTGTGTGTGGTTTTGTAGGATCATTGATCAGCAATGCAAAAACACCAGAGAAGAAAGCCAACACACGAGAGGATGCTGGGTAATCACCTCTGCGGCCATATTGAGGACTGTATTATACCGGCGCCCCAAACTCCAATAAAATGCATTGTCTTGATTATCCTGACAATGATACAATACTTTGTTATCTAGGTTGATATGATTACAATTTGATTTACTGTCAATTATTTGATTTTTTTCCCTTTTTCTCACTGAGCTCTGTAGGTGCATTTACAGGTCTTCCAATGGGAATGTCAAAATAAAGACATATCTTAAAGATGCTATCCATTGATATTTTTGGCTTTCATTAATGTCCTTGATCATTAAATCATTAAATGGATGTAGATTGATGGATTGTTACTCAACAGATTGAAGGTGTGATGACTTTCTGACTGAATTATGGTTTTGATTAATTTACAAATGAATTGTGTATGTGAATGTAAGATGTTTTTAAATGATTTGTTTATATGGCATAGAAATTGTATGAGTCATTTATTGTGAATATTGTTCTTATCATTATGTAAAAATAAAATTGTACCTCTAAAATGATATATTTTATTCTTATTAAGAATATAATTTTTTCACCCACAATACCAAACATATCTCTCCCTCCAAGAGTATTCAAATTAAAAACTCTTCAGTTTTTTCTAGATGTAGAATCAACACCACAAAACAATACGTAACAATCAACCTCTGATGATCTATACTGTTGATTAATACGTAACATTGTCTCATTATCTCAGGTCTGTCATCTGGTTGTGCATATAAAAAAACTAAAAAACCTTTGAGGCGAAACTGGTCTGTTTTTCATTATTGCAGTCAGGATCTGACAGTAACTTCCATACACACACCAGCTGCACACTTCAGCAAGGTTTGCTGGATTCCTTTGTGGTCCTCCGAGATGAAATGTCTCCTTCTCAATCTGCCTCTTCCCGCCTTGTTCACAGTAGAAACTGCGGTGGCATTTAGCTGCTTGAGACGTTTATTAGAAATGGCACCGTGCTGCTCATACACAGAATGACAACTCAAGGAGGAGGGGGAGGAGGGATGTTGAGAGTCATTTAATGATGCCTTCAGGGCCTTGTTTCCTCTGATTCAATGTATATGCCTATAGTGGGATATGGTTATTATGATTTTATTTACATTAAATAATATTAATACATCAATGCCACGCCTACATTCTCTGACCTTAACCCTGGTTAATGGAAAAGAATGACATTTTCTCCAAATGCGTCTACTTTTGGCAAGTGATCACCAGTTCTCCAGACACTCCCTGCATATTTCCTATAATTTATGACTGTAGAGAATCAGGCATTTCTTCAGTTCCTCCTCCTCGCACAAGGCTTTGTTTGGCGTGTGTGGGGAACAGTTAAAAACAACAAATCTCGAACAATTAGAAGTCTCCTTCTTGCTTGGCGTCTTATCTTTCAGTTTAGCCGTGGAAACAATAAGAGGAATGGGAGGCTCACGGCTGTTGCTCACGGGAATGCTAGTCATCGCAGCTTGCTCTCAATATCTCTGTGTAAGTACCCTGAAAAGGAGCAGAAATATTTCAATTCTTTGCTATAGATCTTCTGGTGGAGATTTTTATAGTGTCCCTTTACAAATGCACTCGTATTATATGTTTTTATATCTGGATATGTATTAGTGTCCATGATCTTAATGTATGGCAGTTATTGCTGTTGACAACACAAAACATTATGAATTGGAAGTTCCATTGCAGTGAATGGGTGGTTAGATTGCTTTATCTGCTTTTTTTAATTCTCAAGTTGCTGGACTTATTCCAGTGAAAGTGAAAAACATGATGTTACTTTTCAAATTTCCCCTATTTTGCTTGTTTTTTATTGCCATGGGCTAGTTAACCATATCTTAATAGTTAGGTGTGATGAATTTGTGTTTGTCAGAGTGTTGTAATATTTCTACACCTGTGAAAACCACCTTGTAAGTAATGAGTCAGGTCATTTTATCTATTAAAATGAATTGGTAAACATTTTGGCAAATGGACTTATTGGCTTTCTTTCTGCGGGTTAAAAGGGAAATCTATCTGTACACTTCACATGGAGCTTGAATGAGCAGCTGGTTTGCATAGCTTAGCAAGACGACGAGAGCCAGGGTGTAAAAGCAAGCCCGGCAGTGTTTGAAGGAGCAGAAGAGTGTTAGATATTCTTCATTTGCGTCGTCACATGAGATAGTCAATGCAAAGAACCAGCTCTATAAAATCTCCATTTGTATGATCAAACCATATTTACTCTGTTTAAATTTAATCTCAGTGTTGTGGAATGAATATTAGTGAAGGTCATGATGCATAAGAGTAATCCAAATGTGTGCATAGGCATTAAGCAGTTGCAGTGAAGAGGTGGCTCGTTTGCGGGAACAGGAGACACTTCTGAGGGGCCAGCTTCAGAGACAAGAGCTCCTCCTACACATACTGCAACTGCCGAGCCAAGCGGGAAAAGAGGTAACAGCTGGACCTGACCAGAGCCAGAACACCGAGTCCACAGGTCAGGGCCCCGTCCTTTACAAATAAAGTTTGGAAGCTTACAATATCTTGTCTCACATCTCAGAAATGGGGAGCAAATATTTCACCTATTACAGACAGTGTGGTTGTTTTTCAGACTGCTCTGAGATCTTCAGTTCTGGCTCAAAATCAAGCGATTTCTACACAATCAAACCCCATGGCAGCCCTCACCCAGTCAGAGTGTACTGTGATATGAGTGATGGAGGTGGGTGGATCGTACTTCAGAGACGGATTGATGGGAGGGAGAGGTTTAACAGGTGTGTCTGTGATGTCTAATATCTACTGTAAAATAATGCAATCAAATGTGAAGCCTACCTACCTACCCATCATTCTATCTATCTATCTATCTATCTATCTATCTATCTATCTATCTATCTATCTATCTATCTATCTATCTACCTGTCAGGTCGTGGGTAGAGTATAAAGATGGTTTTGGAGACATGGCCGCTGAGTTTTGGCTCGGAAATGACAACCTGCATTACATCACCACACAAGGTCAACACCACTCCAACATTTTTTTTCTGAACTTGTAATGTAAAGGTGTTCCATTCAATATTGCCTCATCAGTTCCTCCCCAGTCAACGGAGCGTTTTAGTATTTTTCAGCTCATTGTTTTAAGTTTCCAAACGCCCTCTTCATTGTTTTCTGTCACTCTCATCTCATTACAACCATCTTTCCAGCAAACACAGATAAGTTGTTTTTGGCAAAACATATATAATAATTTTTTCATTAACCCATTCTTTACTACCTTCTCAACACCAAACAGCAGCCAGATTAAAAAGTCTGATATAGATACATATAGAGCTAGGATAAACTTGAAAAATAGTCATTTTGCAAATACAGAAACATGATTCCAAAAGAAGGCTAATGTTGCTCCGTATATGTTGGGTGTGTAAATGCTCAACCGTTTACTAACACGTTCAGTGTTTTACTGCCCCTAGTGGCCAGAACCTTCCAAATTATTTTTTATGGGGTATTGATTGTTTTTAAAAAAAATCTTCATAAGGCTTTTATTGTCTGTTACAGGGAACTTTTCTCTGCGGATTAACCTGGAAGACTTTGGTGGTTACCAGGGATATGCCGAGTATAAGAACTTCAAAGTGGCAAATGAAAAGGTGGTTGTACTGACTGACCACTGAAATGTTCTGACTATAACCTTTTTGTGGGGGTAAAAACATGACAATATGTATATATACGTGTTTACAAAATGGAGTTTTTTATTTGCTCCATGCAGCGGGCTGAATGAATTGTCTACATTTTGGTAAATTATAGGCTTTATTGCTGTAAATTATATCAAATCTGTAATTTGTCAGGATCTCCGATCGGTTGATGAGAAGGATCCAGCACGTTGATCAATTAAAGTCAAAAAGTTAACGTTTATTTAGAAGAGGAAATGATTACATGAGCAATTCTCCGCAGATATCTGGCTCTAACTATTGCTTGCAAGCAGGAAGTCCAACACACAAGCACGTATTCCAGCGTTCTGTGTAATGGCGTCTCCGAGCAGTAAAAATGCTGAGTTTTTATACACTTGAAGACAGTTCTTAGTGCCAGTTTAGAGAAGCCACAAATCAAGTCGAGATAAGAACTAAGATGAAGGTGAAGCTGAGGGTAACACACAATGCTCCTCTGATCGAAGGTCTGTGAGAACAAGTTAACCCCCTTCCCCAAACACAGATGCAAACCCTAAATCTTGCTATCTCTACATCTCAGGGTCAACCACTGAGACCTGGCTTTTAGCACAAGACAATCGTTTACAGAATGTTTTTTACCACCACATGCATCTCGCAGATTTCACGACGATATGAATATGAAGCTATAAAGCCAACCGCCGGTTAGCTCAGTTGAACGTGGTATTACACTTAATGGATTTTATTAATTGGCTTAATATATGAATCAGATATCAGTTTGTTATAATATTCTACACAAGTTAAGCCGTTCTCCTCATATCACGCTCTCTACAGGATCACTACCGACTGACCTTTGGAACCTACGTAGGTACAGTTGGAGATGCTCTGTCTGGAAGATATCAGGTTGGTGTGACAGAGTGGGCCAGTCACCAGGGCGTCCAATTCAGCACCTACGATAAGGACAACGACAACTACAAAGGAAACTGCGCGCAGGAAGACAAAGGAGGCTGGTGGTTCAACAAGTACGAGTTCTGTAATATTTGATGAATATTAGATGAAGCAAGATCCTCAAATGTATTATTTACACTAACAATAAATGATGATGTCATTCCCCAGGTGTCACTCAGCCCACCTTAATGGCATGTACTACTCCAATGGGTTCTACAATGGGTTGACGGATGATGGTGTGGTTTGGTACCCATGGAGAGGATGGTGGTACTCCCTGAAGACGAGTGTCATGAAGCTGCGACCTACCAACTACAAAATTGATCCCATCAATGACTCCAACGCTGTTCCTCAGAGACCATCTTCCTAGATCACACAAGAGGGGTTAAACCAGTCGTAGCTTCACTATTTTGGTCTGAAACAGTTGGGAAAACGCATCCCCTATAACATTTTGACGAAGCTCTCCGTGCAGTGTGATGAACTAGAATCTAGGTCCAACGTACTGGGCAGACTGCTTTTACATGTGATACACTTGCCTACTAAATGATGAATGTCTAGGTCTACGATGTACTACATTTAATAGGCACTTGTTTCACATGTAAACTTATTATAATTATTAAAAATAAGGATCTTTGGTGTCATTTTATGAACTTAATAAGAAGTCGGCCAATATTAATCTTCACCTGCATTAAGGTCGTTTCCAGGTATAACACTTCAAATAGGTCATCTTAATGGAATTTTAGGATCCACTTCAAAATTGGCCAGGGACATCTTAAGAGCTTTGTGATAAAAAATATAGTAAAAGCTTTATGTTTCATGGAATGGCATAGTGGCCATTTTGCTGTCATTAACCATCAAATCTGTTCCGAACTTGCCATGCTTGATGACATGAGATGTCAACAAGCCAATCTTCAATCATAGTCATGGTGCCATCGACTGGCAACAGGAAGTCAGCGTTATCTAGCAAACTGCATCCACATTACGTGACATTTACATTATGTTTTCTACACTTGATATAGAGCAACATAGTGGATAAAGGAAGTGGTGGAATATTTGTAATTCATCATTTTCAGCATCACACATTACATGCATGAAAAAAAACTTCCAACTCATACACAAGGTGTCTGATAGTCACAGAGATTCACAACCGCGTCAACGACTGTCCCGCCAGTGTCTTTGATTATTGCTATATCAGTTGCTGTGAAATCATGTTTCAAATTCTAAAAACGCATTAAAATATAACTCTAACTTCTCAGAAACGCTTCCTGTGCCATTTGATTGTGTAAAGGTGGAGTAAATGTAACCAAGACTAACCAAAGATTAAATCGCCCACCTTTCTAAGGCTGATTGAAATGGTACACTTTCAAAATATAATGCAATCTTTAAAGACTTTAGCAGCTCATACAGCAATGTACTTGCAAAAGGAGTCGTGAATCCTTTGGCCTAGTTTAGATACATGAGGAAGTTATAACTTACTACATGTATAGCACGTTGCTTAATGTTATGGTGGAGAAAAGAGAAATCTGAATCAAGCATGTGTGTGCCAGACACAACTGGAATAATTAGACTAAGGAAGCTCTTGTATCAAAAGAATGTAACATAACATGAATGCAATAAAAAAGGTGCACAATGATAGTATTTGTCATACAAATATAAATAATTCCCTGTTGGGTTGTATTCTCTGTGTTACAGCCCGAGTCAAAGAATGTAACAAAACATGACCAGACAAGTTAAAAGTAACAAATAAGAACATTTATTTACAAAGTCACCAAAGGAAATACCAGAACAAAGGTGGTAAGCTTTTGTAGCCATACCAGGCTCAACAGCTGATCAACAGCTTGCAAAAACAGCCAGGAAAAGGAACTCCTCCATCCCTCAGTGGATTGGAGGGCTCATCAGATCTGTATTTCATAACCGGTATCCGAAGAAGAAAACAAGGAATTACTTTATTTTGTCCATTGAGTTATTTGGTTTTCTTGAACGAGGACTACTGTCAATATTACACAGACATAGAGGCATCAAAGAGGCAGCTCACCCTAAAGTAATCACACTATCACACTAGACTGTTTTGGTGTGAATTTCCTAGTTTTGATGATAACTATGTCTTCCCTTTTCCCAGTATAATGGGATGATTCAACAGTGGAGGTAAACTATTTAGATGTTGGAATGAACTGTCCCTTTGATGTAACCAGATTTGTTTGCACACTTCATAGATCATAGCATCTCCAAAAGCTCAGACAGAGGCTAGTTATACTGGTCAGATCCTCTAGAATTCTCTCTGTATCACACACAAGTTGTTTAGTGTCTGTACAAATACGAGTATCATGTATGCCAGAAGTGCAAAATGACTATCAATCCAGAAATATCAAATATATTCGTTATACCGTTTTAGCTAATGTTGAAAACCGCTGTCATTAATCCATTTTATTAGGAATCCATTTGTTAATGTCAATCAATTAACATAATAATATATTATAATATTAATTATGAATTCCTTAATTGTAGGGTAGAGGCTATCTGGGTTGAATATGGCCGAAATTTAATTTGACAAAAACATTAGATTGTGTTTGCACTTCTTAATTTCCACAGCAATGTAAACCATGTTAGGCTACGAGGATAAAGCAATCGTCAGAGAGACGTGATCCTTTATCTTGGGTACGCTTGATTATAACCTGGGGCTTCCCAGCTGGTTCATCTTTTTCTCCGTGCAAACACAATAACGTTCAAACGAAATGCCTCCGTTCACTCGGGATGTCATGGTACATAAAGCAAGCACACTATTTGTGGTTAACACCAGCACTGATTGGCTGACACCCTTTCACGTTCATAGATCTTGTCAGTCAGCTGGAGTACGAAGAAAATAACAGTTGCTTGATTTTATCTGTCTTGAGATTCTGGACTTTATATATTCAGTCGTTGCGTTTACAATACTTTTAAATCGTCCCTGCAAAGTCCCCGATACGTAATTTTACACAGAGGAAAGCGACAATGTAGTGCTGTTGTCACAAACCCATTACAACGAAAGGTAAGTAAGCTAACATTAGCTGATGTTAAATGGGTTGCCTAGCAAGCATGCTAACTGGCTAGCTGTGAGTATTGCAGTTGGCGTAGCAGTCAAACAAACAGCAGTTTTTTTTGCTGTGACTTGTATTTGTATTTGAGGTATTTCGTAGTTTTAAAGCAACGAACGGTAACTTGTATTGCCTTATGTGAGCCTGCTGCTTGCCCGGTTGGTTAGCAACAGTCACTAAGCTACGTACTCTATTTGTCTCCAAGGTGACGGTGGATGGTGCTACGGCTCTAGGGGTTATTTGTCCCATCGCCGCAGGTCCCCACTTTCTAAACCGACTGGCAGCTCCTGTCGCCCATTCCAAGACAACCACCTCCCGCCGGTTACCCCCGCACCGTCGCTCGGAGAACCGTTTTGTGGATGACGGAGCGGGCGGAGCTCCTCGCCGCCTGTGGCCGCCCGGCGGGCCGATGCTAGGGCTCGGGACAACACAACGGCGTGGGTCGGCGGGGAGATGTCAGAGCGGGGATGCCTCGTCTTGCAGACAGTGTTGTAGTCGAGGGTATACACGAGTGTACACAGTATACCTACCAGTCGGACTTGGCGTATAGACTAGCGGACCACATTTCCAGCCTAACTAGTAGTGGCACATATATGGATGGTGGGGTCGCAGCATGCCCACCCCTTCAACCACCACCACACCGCTGGCTGGAAGGAGTAGCAGTGCCGGCGCAGAAGAGGGGCCCATGTCGGCCACCTCCACCTCTGCCATCGGCTCCTCTTTCCGGTTCGTCCCGGCTTTCTGCCTGGGCGTGGTGGCCGCAGTAGTGTTCCAGCTGGCATGGGGAGGCCTGACCCTCACCTCGTTCTTCTTGAAGTTGTTCATCTACGTCTCGTTCGCCCTGCTCTGCTTCCTGGCGGGGAGTTTTGTGCTGCTGGTCCGTAAGAGTCCTCTCAAAGTCAGCTGCTTCGACAGAAACCGGAGGCACTCGGCTGTGCGCCAGGAGTTCTTCATCAAGCTGATGGTAAGATCCTAGTTCAATCTATTAATCACACACGGTTGGCATAACGTGTGTGTGTGTGTGTGTGCTTTAAGAGCACCATGTGATGTGTCATCTGCATCACACTGTGAATTATAACCAACTGCGGTGGAGTCCACTGATAGAAAGGGAACTGGATAATTCTACTACACATATTAAAGGCACTTCTCCCACTTCTTCAGCGCCTACAACATGTTGAACAGACGCATCTGCATTCCATATTTTTTTCTAACTCTCCTCTCCTGTTGCTCCTCTGCCACCCACAATTACCCCCCTGCCCCCCATTTCCCAGCTTCCCACTCCCTCTCATCATCTTCCGGGATTCCTTGCTTTGTTGTTCATTGGTAGATAAGGTGGAGTCATAGTGCTGGACTTAGGCACACACACAAAAGAAAATCACGCATGCACAGATACAGGAAAGTAAATTGTGACCCTGATCTCTCCTCTAATGGGCAGCAGCATCCCAGTGCCTGCCTTTCAGCGGAGGGGGTTCTGTGTGCTCGCTGCTGTGCGCTGATGATTTATTGATGTTGACAGCGGAGGAGTATTGTCACAAGCATTAATCTGGTCGACATGTTGTGTAAACTGTGAAAGGTTTGGGCTGTATTTGAGGCTTATTAAACCTAGCAATCTTTTCCCTTCCTCCTCCCAATATTTTCTGATTTTGACGCCGTCGTCACCATCTGGGTATTGATCTCTTAACGCACTTGTTTTTCAGGCCCGTTTTTTGGTTCCAGTTCAGGAGTCCAGCCAGAGCAGGAGGGTGGTGGTGTCTCACAATGTGGACAAAGCTCTGAAGGAAGGTAAGGTCGCTGCTGCTTAGGAGATTTTCTGATGGGCTTTATGATCGTGTCGTGTCCACGTCCTTTTGGTCAGCACAACAGGTTCAGATCGTCGCATGTTCTACCTCAAAAAGCATGTTCTGTCCAATTATCATCATGTAAATAACCATACCAGAGTATGATTCCATTACAACATCCAACTAGGTTTTGCTTATAATTCCACAATGATTTTCTTTAATTTAACAAATCTGTGACTTCTAGTAATGCTGTGCCACTTTGACAGTGTAACACGTCCCTCACAAATCAGTCTCCATTTCCATGACTCTGATTCTGATGGAAACACTCACATCTTCTGCTTTTAACAAAAAAAAAACAACTGCTGACTGCTGAGGTCTGTTCCTGTCAGTCACCATTTCCCCTGCCACTCATAGAGGATTACAACAGTGCAACATCCTGGTCATTACATCCACACGCCCACACACGCACACAATGTCTGGCTGCGGAGTAACAGATGGCTCCAGGATTTACACCGAGCTTGTTGTGGGGCTTGTAGTATGGTACTAGTTTACGAGGACACTATTATGTTGTCAGTCGAGACCTGCTGAGTTAATTATTTTGATTCTGTATTGTTTTTTTTGCTTGTATTAAATTCAAGCTCCCCAATTTATTAGCCCCGGCCTCCTAGAGATGCTGTGATTTGTATGCGAGTATGAGTTCACATCAGTATAAACTATGTTTTTCCTGCTTAAAAATTGTTTCCAAAGTAAAACGGATGGCCCTTGATGGTGTTGGAATATTTTTTCTTGGTAATTATTTCTGATTATTTGGACTGAAATGGAGATGATGTAATGTACACCAAAATTGAAGCAAATCTTCGCAGCGCTTTATCCGAGTGAGTTCACGGTTTGTGGTTAATTTGCGTCATTCGCACATTTGCTTCGTCGTTTTTGGGTTCATAACATCATCATGAATTTTACCAACTCCTCCAGGAAGTACTTCTAGATGACTGCGCCTTCCAGCGCTACTTCAAGCTAGCTAGTAGCCAGTTTGATGACCTGTTGGGTCGGATCGGTGCCAGGATCTCTCTGTCGGAGACCAACTAACCTACAGGCGTTCCATCTTTATCTGTGTTGTGAGTGGCAGTTTAAGAAATATTTCATGATTGAGGCGAGTTTTTCGCTCTGTGCCGTTCGCTTTAATGCCGTCTTTTGCGTCCCCTGTTTTTGGTTATTTGCAACCATTCCAGTCTGCATTGACATTGCATGTAATCTCGTCGCCTAAAAAAGTACTTCCCTTTTGATGTGAATGCAGCATAACTACTATCAAAGCACCTGATGGGCCTGTGTGTCCATTAGGGCTGCGACTAAAGATTATTTTTGCAATTGACTAATCTAACGATTATTTACCATAGTGTAGGAGTGTAGAAACAAAGAGGCAAGAATTCCTTTTGGCTACAACGTGTGGCCGTTTGTTTCCATCCAATAACATCTCTCACACATTCTCTTTTTACCCCCCATGTCACCAGGGTTACGCCCTTTTCTGTTGAAGGGCCCTGTGAATTCAGTCCTTTTAAAATGATGACAAATTAAAATGATGACTCAACATGTTGGATTTAAGTTATTACAAATGTAATCATCATAATACATACATTGAACAGTAATATAATATGTGAATGCAAATATGCGTTTAAAAGTAACTCAAAATAGCAATAAAGTATTTACAAGGGATGAACATGTATAACAGGGGTCTCAAACTCCGGGCCGACCGACTTTGGCCCACCCCCTTGTCGATCGTACCGTCGCCGCCGCAACACCCGCCGCCGTGATTTGAGTTTGAGACCCCTAATGTAGAGGATGCCCTCTGTCCAGACTCCGTCCATCTGAGGGTGCACGCGCCTCTCTGAAGGACAAACTCGTGCACGCACCACAGTTTCTATTCTCACGTTGTCTGCTTGAGTATCATAGTTTGTACTATGCTAAAGTAGATCTCTTGTAATTGTGTTGATATGGAATGATTTTTTTTATTTTTTATGGAGTGCTAAGTGGAGGTTAACGTTAACTATTCAGAACGAACGAAAAGACAAGCTACGATATTTAACCGAACTGAAACTGCGTTAGAAGCATCCTCCACGAGACCTTCTTTTTTCCAACACGCCAGTGTAAACCTTACGATAAGTTAACAAGGCTAACGTTACTTTTGTTAACTAAACTTACCCATGAGGAGAAGACGTGGTGGCTCCAGCACGCTCGCGTTTTAAATGTTCCTGCGTTGCCGTCGTGCTGCTGTGAAACAAACTCTGTTCTGCAGGAGCTGGGTTGCAATGTTTGGTTCGCTGATGAAATAAGCCTAGTTTATGCTTCTGCGTTTTCAGAGCGACGCAAGAGCCCGTTGCGTGTCCCTTGCGTGCCTTTTCTTGCGTCCCTGCGTGTGTCTACCCATTTTTCTCGAAAGCGACTCAAGCCTCCCGCAGCGCACATTGGTCTGGAGTCTCACATTTCCGCTTTTATAGCACAATACCGCCATTATTAAAACAAAGAATGTTTATGAGAGAACGGTTCAGATTGAAGAGCTTCTGTCAGAAGAAATGCGTAAATGTGACCGCTTATACAAGCCGTCATTGGCGGACTATAAGGACCCGCGGATGGCCTCTGATTCATGGAGGGAGATCTCCGCAAACGCTGGTTTGCCGGTCTAGGGGAACAAAGTTGTGGAGGAAAATACGGGACAAATGTGTCTGCGATGAAAAGCAGCAGTGTCGATGCACGGGGCAATAAAGTCTATGATGAATAAATAAACCAACCAACGACTTCCACAAACAAAGACGTGACTCTCTCGGTCGTCTTCAACAGAAACACGTTACTCCACCTGTTGTTCTGGCGGTGAATTGCTCTGCAACACACGCAAGACTTTTAGAACCATGAATTGAAATGAGTGCGTCGACGCAGACGCAGAAGCATGCGCCAGCCTTTACTCATAGACCTTTTTGTCTCTCCCACATTCAACTTGATAGACTTCTTCTTTTCTTTGGTGCATGTAGAAAATGGAAGCGATAGCGCCCCCAGCACTTCCTGTAGTGCATTAGAATGCCGGATGAAAAAGGCCGGTGGCTCCTAATCATTTTATAATATACGGCGCGTCGACTATAAAAATCAATGATTTTTCATAATCGACGTCGTCGACTAATCATTGCAGCTAGTGTCCATCTGTCTGTTCTCTGTATCTGGAGAAAAGATCATAAGTCCAGCTCACACACACAGATGAATACATTCTCAGATACAGGCAACAAGGTCACCGGGTCACCTAAGCTGCCTGTCTTTGGACTCTGAGAGGAAGGAAAAGTACCTACATAAGAGAATTTGAGTATGGTAGATGTGAAAAAAGCCCCAATATTCCAGTTTGTGTGTAAACGGGACGGTCTTGACGGATCACATTTATGTGTCACATCATTTAACTCCCCCTGGACTTGTTAGAAGTGCGTCCTTCACGTCCACTCTTTGGCTGTCCATGTTGAGAATGTTAAAGTCCCTTCCAGTTAAAATTCTGAAACACATTTTGTTTGCTTAAAAGATTAAAAAAAGGAAGTATTGATTTAATTTTAGATTTTTCATATATATTTTACGGGGCTGCCATTCTCCTTCAAATCAGAATTCATTACATCAGTATGGAGTTATTACTGCAATGTTGATTTAAGATTCCATATTAGAAATTCCTCTTTAATGCAAAATGAAATGCAATGTTTACTCTGTCTGCACAATCCTACCAACTTAAAATGTTAGAGGTTGTTTCGAGGTTGTTTCATTCTTTTTAAACAACTTATATTATACAGGACATATCTTATGCTACGTCTCATCAATATAGGTATATGTAACAGAAACAAAGATTATACAAAAGTGTGTGTGTGCCTTGTGTGGGTCGTTCAAGGGTCCTGCGAGATTAGAGCATTTGCAATAAAAAATCTTTTAAACATCTGAAAATAATATATGTCTTTCTTCAATGGAGAATATGAATATCAAGAAATATTGTGTGACTCTTTGTATTCATCTTCTCTGTGTCTCTCAGTGTTTGACTACGCCTACAGGGACTACATCCTGTCCTGGTACATCCCTTTGAGTCATGACGAGGGCCAGTTGTACTCCATGCTGTCGGAGGACTGGTGGCAGATGATTGGGCAGCTGCGATCCAGGCTCGCCGACATCGACCTTGTCAACGTGGTGTGTTATGACACCATAAGAATCCTACACACACACTTCACTGACCTCAAGGCTGCATCTGCAAGGTACACGCCCGCATGCGCACACACACACACCCCAAGCACAGCCACATAAGATTACCATACGTTTTTCCTTCTTTATGCTTAGCCAATGCTCGGGTGTCCACCGTGTTCGGTAGAGAAATGTGTTTGGCACCCCGGTTGTTTAATGAACATGATATTTGCAATATTATTTGAAATGATTGCAATAAATACTGTAAAAATCCATTGCACTTGCTTCCTCCTTCCCCAATACCGTCTGCCAGGTACGCTTCCAGACACGGGCGATTCACTCATTATCTGGTCCATTATCCCGGCGTTAGTTCTGATGCGATAGTACCGCAGAGAAGTCCGACCTCCCTTATCTTTACTTTAGGAGCAATGTAGCAGCAGCGCGTCTTGCTCGGTCGCGCTCTGGAAGCAAACACCTTGGGGTTGTAACGCCGCTGAAGACCGAATGAGGAGGAGCAGTTGCTGTGTTGATGAAGTACAATGTTATATTCCTCATCTGACATCTAGCTCTGCAAGGATAACACTCTGTCTTTTGTGTTTACACCAGACTAGAAGAGTGCACCCGACCGTTTCCTCTCCATTCCTGTTTGGTCAGTCCGGAGTCTGAGCTGGCCTTCCTCCGCTGCGTTGCCCGAATACTCTTGCTATGTCTTCTACCGCAAAAGGATGCCAAGTCACATACACTACGCTGCTGCCTCACAGAAGTCATCACTACCAAAGGTGCTGCGCGTCATACTCCATGTATTTGGGTCAGCTAGTGAATACATATACTCCAAAGTCCGATATCCTTTTGTTGTATGTATGTAAATGTCATACTTTAATGAATGTCTGTTAGGCTTCTTTCCTCACGTATAGTGGGATTGTGTCCGCTACGTAAGTAATAGAACTTGACTATGGCCCAGCTTCATTGATATATGTACATTCCAATTAACCATGTCAGAGAGCCAAAATACCACTGCTGTGGAAGTGGAAACCCTATATTGACTTTAACCAGCACTGTTAATGTCATTAAGTCCTGCCGTTTGCCTGCTGTGAAGCGTATGTGATGCAATAAGGGGACTATTGGTTTTACATAACACGAGGGGGAAGGCATTATTTGTATAGCTGCCCTTTGACTGCTTGTAGTTTTGGCAGGTAGAAAGATGCATTGGTTTGTACAAAGGGAATCACGACCTTGTTGAAATAAGTTACATATGCAGCTAGAAATGTGCACCGGGATGGAGTTTAGAGATTTTGTGATTGAACAAATACAGCCAGTCCCGTAAAAGGCGTAGTCAAACTGTCATTCCATTCATATACATACATTTCTATTTGCTGCAGTGTTGAAACCTTTGGTGGAAGTGCTGAGCGACCCAGACTCTATAAACAGGATGCTGCTGTCTCAACTGGAGCAGAGGGAGCAGCAGGCTGAGCAGCAGAAGAAAGCCTACACCTACGCTGCCTCCTACGAAGACTTCGTCAAACTGATATCAACTTCTGCCGATGTCAATTTCCTCAAACAACTCAGGCATGAACAGGACACAGACATGCCTTATAAGCCTGAGCGTCTAATAAGGACAGGACAGGGACTACTTTAAAAGAACCCTACTCTACCCACCAATGTACATAGATATATTTTTTGTGGCATATAAATACACATATATTTATTCATTTATATAACATTCACACCAGACAGTGTTAATCACCAGTCTGTTCTCTGCTGTGGAGTTGCCATAGGAACAGACAGTGTCTCTTTGGTGATGGACCAGATCTAAATGCGACGGGACACAGTACGGTTCAACTGTCTTGTTAAGTTTGAGAAGTAATACTGAAGTGTTTCTGATAGATTTATAATCATCTCAAATACGTAAACATAGACTGAATGACCTCCAGTGTTTACATTCTGTACTAATATGTTGTATATTTCCACCATGGAAGATCGTCTTTGTTCCGCATCGTAGCATATTTATATCTCATTTACTCTGCTAGTGTTTGGCTATTTTTATTTGATCTATCGCTTCCAACAGCAGATTGACGTTTTGCCTCTATGCTTCTCTTGGTAGGTATCAGATAGTGGTGGAGATCATTCATGCCACCACCATCAGCAGCCTCCCTCAGCTCAAGAAGCAGAAAGGTACAGAAACTTTAACTACTAAATTTAAAGCTTGGTTTGCCGTGTTCTGCTGGCGTTTGTGGCGTCATTTCTGTGAGGGACTATGTGGTTTTCTTTGCAGACTTGTCGGTCTGTGAAGTCCTTTTGAGATGACAATGCTAGTCTAGCAATGTTTTTAGGATATTCCACCATTGAATCAAGCTTTCACTATCTGAAGGGACTGTGTATTTGCATTTTTAGAGCTTTCTCACTTAAATGCCCTTTTTGACACTTGAATCCTGATACGCGGTACGATTAGTATTTATAATATAATATACCGTGTTAAGATGTATTAATTTTAGTGAACACAACAGTACAGCTTTGCACGTCTCTTGTTGCTGCTGCTGCTCTGATAGTCCAAAGCAGGGAGCCGGGTGGTCTGGTCAGACGTGTGAGTTGTGCCAATCAGTGGCTAGATAAACAGAGTTCTTCAATGTTCAAAAATGTTGTTTTTCACTTACAGAATAACTGGTTTTGCTTTAGTTTCAATGCTTTTCAGTATTACAAAATGACCTCCTGTGATACCTCAGTTACATATTTCATGTTTTCTTACAGTTTATTTTTATATACCGTAAGACAGTCAGCTAAATTTGGTAACCGAGACAAAAGGTAGACGGATTACTGATCAACTCACTTAAACCAGTTACAGTAGAACTGATTATATTTGTCCATAAAGACATTTCCTAATGTTCACTGTGTTTTCTTTATTTTTACAACACACAAAGTTGTAAACCCTTCACATTTCACACACACATGCATACACATATAATAGTATCAGATGTCGGATCAACATGTTTGGCGCTTTGTTTCCATTAGCCACTATAGTTTCCTGAAAGAATCTATTCGTAACTTGAAGTTAGTGACGTGGAGCAGCCTGATCTTCGTGATTCTGTGGCTCCACCTTAGGGAACTGTGTCACTCTGTTACCTTCCCTTTGACCCCCTGCTGTGCTGTCCCTCTCTTTTAGAGCGAAAAGGAAAAGAGTCAGCAGCCATGAAGGCAGACCTGCTGAGGGCCAGAGATATGAAACGATACATCAATCAGCTGACTGTTGCTAAGAAACAATGTGAGAAAAGAATCCGCCTGCTTGGCGGACCGAACTATGAGAACAGCGAGGAAGGAGGGGCTGATGACAGCGATGAGCCTCACAGTCAGAAGGTAAGGCTTGTACGAGGCTGACTGGTTGCTGAACAATTGAATATGTGAACATTGTTGGTTTATGACACTATATCAGCTATTAAGAACGGTCCGGATAATATATTCCTGCAATTTACGCCATAACAATGTAGTTTGAAAAAGAGCACTTCTCGTACTGTGAGATGAAAATCTGTATTCTTGATTTTGGTATTGGCTGTCAGAAAATCTAAACGTGCTCCACATGGCTGAAGTTTGGTTATTTTTTCTCTCTCCTCCCCACATCCAGATTCTCCAGTTTGATGACATCCTGTGTAATCCATGTTACCGGGAGCATTTCCGACTTTACATGGAGAGAGTTGATAAGAGAGCTCTGATAAGCTTCTGGGAACTAGTGGAAACACTGAAAACTGCCAACAAGGTGAGTCCAGTAGGGTTTATCCTAAGCCTGCTAATGCTTTATGGTGGTACAGGCGGTAGTGGTGTAGTAGTGAGCGCGGTATAGTAAAACACATTAATATGACAAGTAACTGCCTATGCGTTTGTTTATGCGTGCACAACAGAATGAAGTGCCCCAAATCGTTGGAGAAATCTACCAAAAGTTCTTTGTGGAGAGCAGGGAGATTCCAGTGGAGAGGTTTCTCCTGAAGGAGATCCAACAGAGTCTGGTGGGGAATAGGGGAACACAAGTCTTTGTCAGACTACAAGAACAGGTACGGGCTGCTTTTATACAAACTGTTGCTCATGGCTTCGCTTTATCAACGGTCCACAGTGGGAATATGTTTTAAAAGGAGGCATTCCTGCTGCTCTTTACATCCTCCAGGTGGCTGAGCAGATGAGAGAGCGTTACTACCCCTCCTTCCTAGTTTCAGACCACTATGATGGGCTGATCAGGCGAGACGAGCAGTGTAGCCAATCACTGTCCAGCGTGGAGGAAAAGGAGGAAGAAGGGGTCAGACATGAATACAGTTGTCAAAGGGTTGAACGTTTAAAAGTCAATACCTGAGCTATTACACGTTGATGACTATACATGTATTCTGCAGTGCCAGGGTCTAGATGCAGGAGAGGAGGTGTGCGACGAAGGCAGTAAAAGAATTAATGAGCAGGCCAGCTACGCCGCTACCAAACTCCGACAACTCTACGACAAACTGGAGTACAAGCGGCAGGCGCTGGGCTCGATCCAGAATGCACCCAAGCCAGACAAAAAGGTACCGCAAAACGAGCAGAACTGACAAAAAACATTGTAATTCTCTCTGGAAGCTCCCAGCCGAACACCATGCTTAAACACCCGTGTGCCTGAGCGTTTGTATACATAAAGTCGCTTTCAGTTAATCGTGATTTGCATGCTGGTTCAAATCTGCGTCTTCCGTGTGTCCGTAGATTGTGAGCAAACTAAAAGAGGAGATCGGAGCCATGGAGAAGGAACACGGTGAACTGCAGCAGCATATCACCAGGACTGACTGGTGGTGTGAAAACCTGGGCCACTGGAGGGCGACCATCACTTCTGCTGAGGTAGATTTTTGTGTGCAATCTTGTCTTTTATCACCAACAATATATGGCCGACTCAAGAAACAAGCGAGCCATTCGCTTCACTACAGCACAAGGGGCTCCAATCGGGGTTCTTTTTGTGGCATATACAGTTGAGTAATTGCATGGAACACTTTTCAATTATGATTTGGGCCACTTACAAATGTGATCCTAAGTCAGTAGCAGGTCAGTGTTTTTTAAGCACATTCTAAACCAACATATGTCCATGCTGACTTAGTGAAAGTAATTCACTGGTTTCCACTACTATGTTAACTTCTAAATTCAGCCATAAACATGTACTTCAATGGCCTCCATGTTTCTTTTTTGGGCATGTGGGTCAGCTCAGGAACTTTATAAAAATGGATAAAAATAAAATAAAAATGGAATCTAGTATTAGCCATATTTACAGAAAAAAAACATAATACAAATGTAATAAAGACACCACTGTAGTGCTCTGAAGACCTTCCTTTCCACTTTATGTCCACATGCAAAGAGTGGAATGTATACATTTCATTCAGATGTTTTTGTGTCTAGGCTACAGAGGAGGGAGGCGAGACAGTTGCTTGTTACAGTGTGTGTGTGAGCCTGGTAGAAGGAGAGGAGACGACCAACAGTCGCTGGAGCGTCCAAAGGAAACTCACAGAATTCCAGATGTTGCATCGCAAACTCACCGAGGTAAACACAGTACCAAAAAATATATATATATTATACACACATAAAAAATCCACCATATGGATATATTTAACCTTTAAGTGCTTGGGGTTTTCTTCTCTCCACAGTGTTTCCCATCCCTGAAGAAGCTCCAGTTACCATCGCTCAGCAAACTTCCCTTCAAATCCATTGACCAGAAGTTCTTAGACAAGAGTAAAACTCAGCTCAATGCCTTTCTCCAGGTAAAGAACTTACTTCAGGGTGATGTTCCACTTGTACAGAAATAGGATGGCAGGAATCCTTTTATTTGTTTATAATCTAACAACAGTGAGATGGCTAACTGAACACTTGCACTCCTCTTAATAACACCGAACTTCTCTAGCTAACTTGACTAGCTCCCAAGCCCAGACCAGAGGAACAGCCGGCTCCCCTGTCCTCCACCAATTACCGGCCGCCCCCTGCCCAGCACGCACACTGCCTCCTCATGATTGGTTTGGAGAGAAAGGGAGGATGCGACAAAACACCATTTTGTCTTACGAAAAAAAAAAGTGAATTATTATTCACATTATGAATAAATGATTTTTAGCTCTTGACATAAAACAAACCAAATTAAAACACAGAAGAGCAGATATCTGTGGTTACTGGAGGGTGCTTCGGCAGTGACAAAGGAGTGGAAAGGAACGAGTGGAAAGGTTGTGAAATAGAAATGACAGTTTGTTTAAAATAATATATATTTGTGAAACACTGCACTGGAGAAAAACCTCCAGCTCACTCTGCCTCTTCTACTTTATGACGCCAGCTAAATAATGTTTGTGATGACACTCTGTCTGTGTAGCGTCTGCTGACAGATGAACGATCGTGCCAGTCGGAGGCTCTCTATGCGTTCCTTAGCCCGTCTCCGGAGTACCTCAAGGTAACCAATTTGTCATACTTTCCTTTCAAATAAGTCCGGGGACTATTCATTCAAACAAGTATGATATATTATATTCATTAAAGTTCTTTGTTCACTCAGGTGGGATTTAGTGGTTGAGGTTTCAAAATTCCTTCCAGTATGTTCCAGATAAATTAGAAAATGTACAGCAGCAGCTAAGAACTTGTGCTGTTTTTAATTCAATCCCTGATGACGCTGTACAAGATTTTTTTTTTTCTTTTTGCAAACTCTCCTGATAATTACAGGTCCGGTTCACTTCTTTGGAGAAATCCTGTTGTATTTGCCATCTATTTTAGTCCTCCTAGACCATCGGTTATAATTCTATGCAATATCTTGTTCAATGCTTGAAGGTGATGTCAATCCAGAAGAAATCGTCTTTCTCTCTGGCCTCCTTCCTGGAGAAGCTACCTGGAGACTTCTTCTCCCACACCGAGGTACTCGATCACATGCCACCTTTTAGAGAAAAACTAACTTGTGAAACGTGCTTACACAGCTCACACTCAGCATATGTGCGTGTTTGTTGTGTGCGTCGTTCAAAATCTGTAGGAGGAGGCTGACGACGACAGCGACCTATCGGACTACGGCGACGAGGTAGACGGGAGGAGAGACGCGCTGGCCGAGCCCTGTTTCATGCTCATAGGGGAGATATTCGAACTCCGAGGAAGTGAGTGTTGCACCGTGTGTCTGTTCTATTTGAATAGCTATGTAGATGTAACACAAAGTTAAACCCTAGTGTGTCCTGTTTGAGGTGGAGTTAGTAATATCCAGTCCTCCTGTGATCTGTTTCGTTCTCTCTCCAGTGTTTAAGTGGGTGAGGAGGACCCTAATTGCACTAGTCCAGGTGACATTTGGACGAACCATCAACAAGTATGTTTGGAGCAAGTTGGCATTTTTATAATTCATTTTACCTTTCAATGATAAAGTATATTGCTGAATGGTCTTATTGGACCTATTTGCATAAAAAAACTAGCCCAACGGCTTTTCGCCTTGAGGCTAACATCTCTTCTAATCTTTATCCTAGACAGATCCGGGACACCGTAAACTGGATCTTTTGCGAACAGATGTCGGTTTGTTACATCAATGTGTTCAAGGACACCTTCTGGCCCAACGGGAAGTTGGCACCTCACGTCAAGGTCCGAACTGACAGCGAACGCAGTGAAACTAAGGAACGGGCTCAACAGAAACTACTTGACAATATCCCAGGTAGACACAAGACACATATTTATCTTCTAGATTTTGGACTTATGAACACGACTCACCTCTTTGCTTTGTTTCAATATTCTATTTTTTCTATTAGATGCACTGGCAAATCTAGTTGGCCAGCAGAATGCCCGCTATGGAATCATCAAGATCTTTAACGCCCTGCAGGAAGCTAGTGCCAACAAACATCTTCTCTATGTAAGAATGATAAATATGTCAAACGATGGTTAGTCCTTTAAAAAAAAAAAAAATATATATATATATATATATATATATATAGATTTTAAAGGACTAACATCGTATAATATATATATATATATATATATATGTATATATATATATATATATATATATATATATATATATATATATATATATGTATATATATATATATATATATATATATATATATATATAATCTAGCTGCAGAACAAATAATTTTCTCTTGCTGTCTCCATTAGGTGTTGATGGAAATGTTACTCAAGGAAGTGTGCCCTGAACTCAGCGCGGAAGTGGACAACATCTGAACACGCGCACATACCCACACACACACTTGCAACACAAACAGAGTCTTTGGATCTAAGGCCTTTCTTTAGCTGACCAATCATAAACTACCAGACAGACAATGGCCTTTTGGTTTAACCTCCTGCAGAGAGCAGGGGTGTTGGTCACGGCTGAGACACACGCTCTGATTTGTGGAAGTAGAACGTTGCGGTGAAATGATGAAAAAGCCGAGCGGACCAAGTCAACCCGAAGGGGATGAGGTTTTTACTTTGTTGTGGCACAGATCTAAACTCGTCCGTGAGAATGGGGAGGAACCACGTGGAGTCTGACGAGACGGAACACAGCCTGAGAGTCAACATTCACACAAGATCAAACTGTTTTTTGTCATTTAAATGGGCCATGTTGGCATTGTTTTTCTTTTCTTATTTTGTTAGCACTGTAACATCAGATGTGTCCCACAACAAATCTGTATTCCTGTGTAAATCACGCTGGTCACTAGGCTACAAAGAGGAGTCACAACTAGTGATAGTAAACAGCATGATTGTGTGGTCCCCAGCTGTTTAACCTCGATGAAACACAGCAAAGAAAGTCCAGGTACCGTTTTTTGTCGCGCTCTGAAGGCAACCCAGGGCGTTATTGTCCAAGGACCTCTGAACATTCCTCCTACAAACAACCTGAGCAGCACTTATGTTCTGTGATTCTTGTTAAGGCTTATTAATGTGCAATATAATGTCATGTAAAAGTCATTGTGATGATTTTATTTATGATTATTATTGATAGATTTTATTTTTACCAAAAATTGTTTAGAAAGCGTTTATATAAGCAATAAATTGCAAAAAAAATGAATGCGACATTTTTGATTTTCTTTAACTTGTCCTTGGAACTGAATTAAATGAACCAGTGTGTGTGTAAGCAGATGTACCAAAGGATCAGCATAATCCATATTTGAATTGAAACATATTTTGACATAGATCAGCATTTTCCTCACAAAATTACAGCTGTAGTGCAACAATGATTTTGGTCATGCCACACTTTCAACACTTCAGCTTTTGACTAATACTCTCAATAATACATATTCTGCAGAATACGAACGATTTCTCAGTATTACTGCTTTACGGTCTGGTGGTTAAACACTGAATTTGAATTAATTATTTAATATTCTTTCCAATAATATTTCACAATAATTAATCAAAAGAACAGTCAACAATAGGCACATTGTATGACGTTATTGAATAGTGTTGCAATAAATATTCTAAAAAATGGATCTTAATAAATCGAAAGCGGTCCGTGTACGTTTTGAACAAAACATGGATGGCAAACAATGAACCTCATTTCTGATCATTTTCTGTATACTCAGGCAATTGTGTAACCAGCTGTGACACATCGTTACAATTCATTCTATTATGTTCAGCCCAAAGACTAAATTACAAATACACATGCGACATCCCCTGAGGCAAAACCCTTCCATCGGCACACGAAAAATTACCCCAAACTTTTAACAATTGTGTGCACCCGGGTTTCTCACAACGGCTTTTATTTTTACACTTAAAACCGGAAGTAGTGTGATGTTCGTTTGATACAACGTTAAATACTTTATAAGGATGCTGCACTCAAGCCGGACGACCGAGGCACAGCTAACATTTGCAGGTTAGCAAGCATCGCCCTACCCGCCAGCGTCATATTCTGAAATCGCTGAATGGTAGGTCTGGTTTACAGGAAACATTTATAATTTGCTAATAATTGTTGAAACCTTTGAAAGCTAACGCCGCTGGACGAGGAGCTAGCGCTAATCGCTAGCTATGGTTAGCTGCTCTTATTTTTCGTGTCGTTTGTCTTCACTTTGGGTTAGCTTTAACTGAAATAAAAGGCAAACTTTACACGCTTGCTAAAGAAAGATACCGTTTCATTTCACCTCAACAAACACCACTCCATACAACGTGCTAAACGTATTGTTTTCGTATTAATAATACTTGCTAATCTAATTAAGTGTGTAATTGTTATCCGTAAGCAAAAGTGACGCTGTATCGTGTTCATATAAAACCTGTTTACCTTTAGCACTCCATGGCACACAGTTGAAAACTCTTTTAAATGATTCAATATTAGTTATTAACTATCCAACTAAAAGCGTTGCCTTGAATCTATTATTACAGACTTTGTGTTCTAAGTAGGGTTTCCTGACTTTGCCTTGATGAGATGGATGACGAGCTGGAGAACTTCATCAGGGAGCGGAAAGCGCGGATGGCCCAGGACCGAGCCAGTTTGGAACACGACCCTCCGTACATGGAAATAAAGGTGGGTTGGAATGATGCAAAGTGGCTCAGAACCCAGGTCAGGGTTGCAGATTGATGGCCACTTAATGTACACACATTCCTTACTTCATTTAGTCCAATTCTGCTGCATGACATTTTGTGAATCCAGTGATGAACAACATATGACAACAATTAAACATGGTGTTAATTGTTGTTTATTGGGAACACAAGCAAAATGATTAAGAACCAACAATGTTAAATTATAACTGATGGAAATATTGAGTGTAATGTAAATGTATGGACAGGTCGCAGGTATGATCTTTCATCACTGATCCTGTTTCCTGGTTTTCTTTTAATGCACAATGTTGTATTTTTGACTGACAGGCTAAACCTCACAGAGCCTACGAGTCCATTGCTAAGGAGAACATCCATCCCAGGTCTACAGCACAAAAGAAAGGTACGGTTTCCCCTTTTAAACGGGATGATTCCTTTTCAATAAGATGAGCAGATCTCTGATGTGAGTCTATGATTAGCAGCACCCTGTGATGTGTGTTGTCATGTGAGCTTGTCAGGGTACACGTGGTTGTTTGACCAGTGTAAAGACTTCACCTCGTATCCCCTGATGCATTAAATATTGACGTATGTGTCTCGTCAGAGGAGAGTTACACTGCGGTACTGCCACTCGGTGTCGAGTATGAGCGGAAGAAACAAAGGCTGCAGCATGAGCTCTGCATGGACTACAGACGCTACATGACTCAGGTGACTGTGAGAAACTTAACGTTTGCTTTGTTCTACATACTTCAGTATTTGCCTCTAGATTTAGGCTTAATTGTACTGTAAGGTCCATGTCACTACCCCAGACAAGTCGTATGAGCGATGAAACGCAGACGTAAGCTGCAAACCAGCTGGCTCAACGTGTAAACGTCATCGTGATGGAATCATGAAGGTGATATTTTCATGTTACAGAAGAAGCACTTTGGCCCTGCGGAACCTGGACCTTTAATTCACCTCAATAACAGGAGATCCATCCAGGTAGATTTCTCTTCATGACTTACCGATGTCTGTTGGTTTACAGATCATATCATATCTTTTTCAATGAAGGAAAAATGATTCCTCACTTCTGGTTGCTGACCAGATTTAGAAAGCAGACATTTAAAGAACTGAGTGCTGTGGACACATTGTGCTATTTCCCCTTCATTCACTACCAATACAGATTTAATGAAGGATCCAAACTGCCTGTTTTTTTTAGTAGACAAAGAATAACTCATAAATAACTGAAATAATAGCTGAAAATAATACAGGAATAGCTGAAGTAATGGCTAAAAGTTAGGTAGGAATATCTGGGGGTGGACTGGGGGAAAGAAGTGGACCGGGAGTTACGGTCAGACCGGCCCACTCAATGCATTGCATGTATTGACCAGCCAGTGTCCTACTTAGAAAAACACCCATACACTTAATATTATTATGGATGAATACAAACAAATGACATCATGTTTGTCTTTTTTTTATAACATTTAGACCCACCAATTTCCCTGGATGGACACATGGAATAAAATGATACTGGCTATTGTAACACTCCAGATATTGTTTTCTACATGAATATGCTTCTCTCTGGGCTTGTATCGGATGGTTGTACGTACAGCTACAGAGCCTTAAGAAATGAATGTCAGCAGAGAAAGACCATACAATAAAGACACTGGTATCAGAATTAGTATGAACTATAGTGTGTGTGTGTGTGTGTGTGTGTGTGTGTGTGTGTGTGTGTGTGTGTGTGTGTGTGTGTGTGTGTGTGTGTGTGTGTGTGTGTGTGTGTGTGTGTGTGTGTGTGTGTGTGTGTGTGTGTTGGTGGTTTCCCAAATAAGTCAATTCTAAAATATTTTTCTTTCTCCAGACATCTCTCATTATTCTCTCTGAGCTTTTCAGTTCCACCTTTTAGAGGATTTACGTTTAGGCGCCGTGCTGTCAACTAGCGCTCTAAAACGGCTTTGTCCGCGAGTGAGTGACGCAAGTCTTGAGTGGGCTATAGCAGTGGTGTCAAACTCAATCACAGACAGCGACTAAATTAAAAACTGACATTAATATCATGATACCAGAATTCAACACAATAGCCCTTGCATATCTCGTGCGCTGTTAAAAATTAGTTCATATTAATATTTATAGTTAATATTCGTTAAAAGTAATGAATAAATGGTTAAACTAGCCAAACAAACCCGACTTGACATGAATGCTTTACGTGCTTGCCTCGGACCTGATATTGTCCCACACAGTAGTTAAACAAACATTCCCTTTCACATTCCTGTCACCATTAGCAACACCTTGACAGCCAGGCAGATGCTCCTTCCAGACAGCGACCTCCCTCCCGAAGAGATGTGGCCACTCTCACAGAGGACACCAGGGGATCGCACACGCCTTCGCCCCTCAGAGCTGACATCCTGACCCTTGGCCCTGAGGCGGACGGGGATCAGAAGTCAGTACCTCTGAGGCACTGTGACCGGCTGGGGAAGCCTTTGGACCGGGACTCTGAGGAGGAGGAGGAGTACTTCAAGGAGCTGGAGCTGGTGGATAGAAGAAGGCGAAGGCATATCGGGGTCGAGGCCAGTTATGAGAACAGACCATCCAATAAGACTGATTGGAGGTATGTATATTCATGCACGTTAAATGATTGAAAAACAGCAGAGATAGTTTGTCCCTTTTTCTCAGCTTTTTTTCATTTCTGTTTCGCTTCACCAAGGGAGAAGAGAGAGAATGTAGTCGGCCGGGGATCGAGAGCACGGACCAGCAATGAGGATGTGGAGTTTGCCACTGGCCTGAAAATAGGTGAAAGGACTTTAAAAGTCCATTTGAACAAGTGTTGTTCTGAAAGAGACATTTAATGTTTAGAGAGATTTGTTTAACTGCTATTTTATCATTTTTAAATTGGTTATTGATATAAAAAAAACAAACAGGAGCCGTTGACGCAGAAGATGCTTTGCAGAGGAAGAAGGAGCACTACAGACAGGAGCTCCAGGAGCAGATAGCGGAACAGCATAGGAACAAGAAAAGGTGTGGTGTCTTCTTTCTTACCTTCCAGCACTTCAAGCAAGTATTTTCATTGTCTAAGATAGATTAATGTCTGTTATAAGATATGGCACAGCTTGTCCCTCGGGGACCTGGCGTTTCTTCAAAGTGGAGAGGAGAGCTGTGGACCTCCAGTCGCTCATATTTTTGTCATTTGTTGCAGGGAGAAAGATTTGGAGCTGAAAGTTGCTGCAACAGGGGCAAATGATCCTGAGAAACGGGTCAGCAGTCACTGGGTCTCATGTAGTTTGGTTAGTTGGATTGTTGAAAGGTGAATTTGAATATGTTCTATAAACATCAATCTACCATTTTTGTCTAATTCCACCAACCAACCAGCCGGACCGGATCAGACAGTTCGGACTGTGCCGAAAAGAAACTCATCAGGTGATGGAGCCTTCGGGTAGAGCGGCGAGCGGGACCTCCTCCAGAGGCCTTCCTAGTCACGTGAGGGTGGGCTTCCGAGGCAGAGAGACTCCTCTTCCTCCTCTTGAGCCGCCCCACGTCGCCTTCCAGTCCCCTCTGCTGGAGTACAGCTCCGCTCTGAGCCTGTCGCCCAACAGCCAGCCTGCTGCGCCCTCCTTCCCCAGAGCCACGGACACTCCCAGGTACCCCATGGACTTTAACTCCACATCAGCTCTACCTGCCAGGAGCTCCGCCAAGGAAAGCCTGTGGGGGGCTTTTATCGCAACGTAGACACAGGAGCCTCGATGCGTCGGGCACATTGCTTCTTCAAATGTAACACACGCTCTGTGTGTGAGGGAATTCTAAACTGATGGGGAAACCAACCAGCTAAAATTGGACATGGTTAAGCCTGCGTGCGTCATTCCAATTTTTCTGGAGATGACAACGTTAAACTCTAGTGTTGTTTTCTGGCAGGTTGCTGGCAGAAGAAAAGTTGGAACATTTTACAAATTAAGTACTTCCTTCTAAAACATCATTGATTATTTCATATCCTGCTTTGGGTCCCCAGAATCCCCTCGTTTCCTGCTCCCCTTCCTTCAGCCCTCGGTGAGGCCTACAGGAGTCCGTATGGAGAGCCCCACTACAACTACACCAGAAACCTGCTGGACCCCAACATGGCGTACTGTAAGCACACGTCTCCTCTCTTAAATGGAGGGAGTGAAGATACTTGAATAATAACTGAAGATATTGGCTAAAGGCTGAATAGAAATTCTACAATCCGCTATATCATCTACTATTATTATTATTATTATTATTATTATTATTATTATCATCATCATCAATAACCATAATTATGTGTTGTTTTTCCTTTTATCTTCCTCTAGTGTCCTCCTACTGGAACATACCGGCAGGGGGCGCTCCGCCCAGCCAGTTTGGAACCTATAGCCCCCACAGCCAGCACAGTGGCAGCACCTTCCCTGAGCCTCCACCACAGTAAATTATCCCCCCTCCCCAGACACACACACAACCTTTAGTCCTTCTCACTGAACAGAATGAACCTGATAATATTAAGTTTTCCATTAGAGAATTGAATTCTCTAACCCTTGGTCTCTCCTGACAGCCTTATCAGTGAGACTAGTGCTGTGGACGCACACGTCAGGGTTGTCCCATCAGATGGATCCAGGTCGACCCGGGACAGAGTTCTGAGCTACAGGGAGGCTTTGAAACAACAGGTGGGTCAAACCGTCCTACTGCTATCACATCCATTGGCAGTATGATTTTACTTTGAAGCAGATGGAGCTCTGTCCTGGTGTTTGAGCTAATGGCTGCATTATAATGACATTGTACATCAAGTGCATGGTCGTGTACCTCTGATGGTGCTAAGCGCCTGCTGCACAAACTCAACAAATGGCACACTGATATAAATGCACTGTTAACCTCTGAAGATTTAACAAAGTTAAGTTTGGAAATGCTGAAGACACACGGGCCCAAAAAATTAGAGTACTGGAATTGTTTACAAGATATTCAACCTTTGTTATTACACATCTAATCGTTAACCTCTACTGTGTTTTTCCGGTTTAATTCGTCTGTGCCTTTTTGTTTTCCGCCCTAATGATAAATGAAGAACTGCGCGTTGAGTATGATGGCCTTTGTGCTTGCTTGAGCACTAGCAGGGGAGAAGCGGGGCTACGGTGCCTGTTGAGAGGATGTTGTCTAAATTGATTATTGCATTAAAGCAAAGCACCACATTTTAAAAATAGCAGTTAGAAATCTGTCTTAACAGTTTTAGAGGATAGTTGAAGATGGTAAAGGATTTATACATTTATTTTTATAATAGGTTTAACCCACAAGTAAAAGTAAATATCTTCGTTGGAACTACATCACCATGGCTGGGCTCTTTTAACTTTCACTGCATCCGAGTGTGTGATATGTTGGCAGGAAGCTTCCAGCAGAGGGAACAGCGAGCTTTACAACAAGGTAAAACAGACACGGTTAAGAATAAAATACCTAGTGAAAGTGGCCCCTAGCTCCTCATTCATTTGTAGATAGTGGATCGCAGACGTGTTGTGAGAACTCCCCCAATCAGCCCGTTACTTCACATCCCATCTCAGTCCTCCATCCTCCTCCACACCCTCTATGCTCGCATTTTCTGTGCCACATGTGGTTGGAACCGTTTTTTTTTTTTCAATCTAAGAACATCCCAGGGTTCATTATGGGGCTGACACATGTGCTTCTTCATTTTGACCCCTCCATCATAGATCTGTATGTACCAATTCCATGTTGTAGTTATTTTGGTCCCAAGCATCACTGCTCACTGTTTAGAGAATTACACTCTGGTAATTGAAGGATTTTGATTAAAGCTAAATGCTGTGCCGCAGATCCAGCAGCAACAGGAGCAGAAGCGCTTGGAGAGGGAGGACGAGGAGCGCTACGAGGCCCAGCTGGAGGCAGACATGAAGAACCATCAGCCGTGGGGTCGAGGTGGAGGGGGGGCCCCGCTGAGGGACTGCACGGGAAACCTGATAGGTACCTCCCACACTCTAGTGTCTGATTCTTAAAATACAGCAAATGTTTGTTGTTGGTCATGTTTCTTATGCATGAGGAAACTCCCGTGTCCAGCTGACCTCCACCAGATGCACAAACTGAATGAGGAGGCGTACATCAACCCGGAACAGTGGCAGAGGAGAGCCGCAGCGCCCCCCCGCCCAGAGCCCTCCAGCCCCAACCAGAGGGTCTCCAGCTCTGGGGAAGAGCGCAGCAGCCATCACGCCCGCTACGGGTTCTCTAGTACCGGAACCAGCTTTGTTCTCTTTGCTACACCTCAGCCTCTGCCCTGTGAGATCTTCTTTGAAAAGAAGCTACTTGGCTCCCGCTCATGCAGAACTTCTGTCTTTTGAAGGTTCCGCTCATGGCCAAACAGTACAGTTTGCCAGAGGCAGTGTGTTTTCCAACCAGCCCACCCAACAGAAGCTCCACGAGCAGGACAAGTACAAAGCCTACCTCAAACAGCAGGTACTGCTTTAACTTTATTTACGGGGGGGCGCGTGTTGAGTCTCCTCCTCACTTTTGCTGGGACTGAGGTACAGAGCAAGAGTAAAAAGAAGGATTAACTTTATTGGTCATTCAGCACAGTGGTCCCCAACCTTTTTTACCTCACGGACCGGTTTCAGACAATATTTCGCGGACCGGTCGAGAAGGTCCGACGGGGGCCGGGGGGGGGGGGTAGTAGTCGCGCGCTCTGTGTTTGCTGGTCGGCGAAACTGCCGTGCACGGTAAAAGGACAAGAAAAACGCCTGGTGACGCGTGGGGAATATGTCAGAGGGACGAGCGCACATAATTAGGAGAAAATCCGGTTGATTTTCAAAATAAAACATTTTTCAGAAAAAGAAAAAAATATATATATAAGCTTTCTGTGGTGCGGCCCGGTACCAAACGGCCCACGGACCGGTACCGGTTATTTTGGACTTTTCATCCTTTAACTGACAGGAAAAGTAACTAATTGGCACATAATGAGAGTTCCTTGCAGCTGTTTTAGGTCCAAGTTGTTCTATTTTGAGTTCTATTCACCTAACTTTATGGTCTTGTAATCTGTTTTTTTGCAGATTGATGAGAAAATGCTGAAAAAGGCAGAGGAGAGGGAAAGGACAAGACTGGAGGAGGAGATAGAGGAGAAGAGGCTGGCCGAGCAGAGAGCTCGCATCCAGAAGGAGTTTGATGAGGAGCAAGAGAGGAAGAAACGGAAGGAAATGGAGGTGAGGAGCGGAAAATAAAACAAGTCATGAGTAGCGTTTACATTTGTGTTTTAAATCAATGAGATTGCAATTCTCTCCCCTCTCCTATCTCTCCTTAATGCTTCTGTCTCTCAGCAAAAGGCCAAGAATGAAGAGCTGATTGAACTGACGGAACGGAGGAAGAAGGAGATGGAGAGGAAGAAGAATGAAGCAGAGGAGAAGGAGAGGGCAGCAATGAGGAGGCAGTATGAGAGGGAGAGGCAGGCTCGGGTGGAGAAGGAGGTTAGATTCCCAATGCCGCGATATAGACACTAGAAGTTTTAGAAAATGGACAATGGAACCAAACTATGAACTGGAAAATTGTTCTAGAAAGTATCGGAGTCAGTTGGAAAACCACAAAAAGTTCTCCGGACACTTATGGATAATACCCAGAAGATGAGCGGGATGATATGAGCGGATGGGAGATTCATTCATGGGTGCAACATGTAGAGTTCATTAGTAGGTTTTATTATCTTATTTATCCTGAACTCCTCCGCTTGATTAATGTAGCCAATGGGTGGCTGTGTGTTCGTAGGTGTGCAGGGAGCCTTCCCCACCAATCCCCACCCTGCAGAAGAGACATGGCCCACACCAGTACACCCCCACCCCCCCAACTGTTGACAGCCAGCATTCAACTGCCCCCCTGTCTGTGAGTCTCTCATGCACACCACTTTGTGTCCTGTATAAAAAAAAAAAAAAGATGTGTGTTCAATTAAAGTTTCATGTCTTTCAGGAGGGCTCTTTGTCGGGTCTCCAGTCCCCTCCGGTCCCGGCTCGTAGGAACCAGCTTCGGGCTGCAGGTACTCAGTCAGTTAGGAAACGCCATCTTAGCAGTCAGACGCTGGCGATTAAGCAGAGCGATCATCGGGTCGTGCAATCACTGAACGTGTCCTGTGGTGATATGCTATGCTAGTGTCACACACGAGAGCGCTGTCTCAGCTTGCAGCCTGTGTGCGTTTTCAGGGGACCAGCGCGACGTGTTCAGCGAGCTGTCGGCGCTGCGTCGGCATCTTCGCAGCGAAGAGAAGCGACTGGAAGGTCGTCTGCAGCAGGTCGACTGGGAGGAGTTGGACTCTCCTCTGAGTGACAGGTCAGACCCGGCCGCATGTCTGCGGTCTGCGTATTACATGTATCACGTGTCTATAGAACACACACAAACCTTGTAATTCTGCCTAAAGGTAAATGATAATCAATTGAAATGGCATACACCAGAGGTCAATAAACTGCTGCACCGCCATCCCATCTGGACAGCAAAATTCCATAAAACAATTCAGTTCAATCGTTAAAGTGTGTTTTGCTAAGACTTGAGTCCAAAGGCAGAACAGAAAAGGGGAAATCAGATGTTTCTTTCCTTTTTATTTAATTTGTCTGAATTGAAATGCAGCTTTACTTTTATTTAGTTATTGAGTGAACATAATTTTTATTTGCAGTCACACATATATGTTCAGTTTGTTTGATTTGTTGAGCTGTGTTAGTTAAATGCAGATGTTGATACCACTCTACCCCTCTATTTAATCGCATTATGATCTTCCAGGCGTTTTCTACTAGAAATATTCTCTAACTGGACATCTTTACATTTGAGCTGAATCCCCCTGTCATAAAGAGTAGAAAAAGGGGTTGTTGCTTAAAAATGACTTAAAGGTTTATAATGCGTAAGGATCCTGCGGTGCCATCTGAGTGTGTGTCTTCGTGCAGACATCGGGAGCGTCCCCAGGTGGACGTGTTCGACATGGCCCGGCTGCGGCTCCCGGCTCCGGTCCGCCGGCCAAACTCCAGAAACACGGAGCCCAGGAACCTGCTGCGGATCCACGACTCCCTTCAGCTTAAACACTCAGGTAACACGAGACCTACACTCGTCACAGTACTCAACTGCAAACCGCCGCCATGGGCTCACTAGTTTGTGTGTGTGTGTGTGTGTGTGTGCGGATGCGTGTGTGTGTGCGTGTGCGCGTGCGCGTGCACGTGCGTGCGTGCGAGTCAGACGGCGAGTCCAGACTGGGCTTCAGGGAGCTTCTGAAGCAGGAAGAAGTGGGTGTGGCCAGCAGGAGGAGGCGGGACAACTGGGATCAGCAGTTCAGCAGCCGGGGCTCTCCAGTCCAGGACGGTCAGAGCCGTGTCCTACTCTCTCCCCTGAGCAGTAGTTTCATTATGCTGCAGCTTTAAACAGTCGGTTGGTTTATCATGCCACTCTAAATAGTTTCATCCTCAACATCTACAATAGAAACTGAGTGTTTCCTCTACTATTGAATGAGGGGGGCGCACCAAGCAGAAACACTCAATATAAATGTCAAGATGGGCCCCAATTAGAACCTAGATTGCGTCGTGATCTGTAACTGACTAGTGCCACTTGGTATTAATAAGCCGTCTTTGTTTTCTAAATTCGACTTGCATTGGCGTTTCATGACGATATGCACATCAGTTAGGCACTGGTCGACCATAAACACAAGAAGGGAGTCAGCAGTTAACCAAATTTATTTTCTATTCATGTGGAAAAGCTTGCTAGCTCCTGCTGCTACTGTGAGCAGGAAGAGGCAGAGTTACGTTCTTATTTGAGAATATAGTGTGGTGCGTCTTCTAATTTACTGGCGAAGAACTCTGCCTAAACAACATTGCTAATAGTTGGTCTGAAATGGGGTCTTTGGGTTGTAAAGACCTGTATTCCTGTGGTAGCAAATATAAATAGATCACACATGGAATCCCTGTGTTGCAGATTATTGCGATCAGTCCCCGCCACAGCATAATGATTATCTGGTGAGTTGAAAAGAAGGCATAGCAGCTGTTCTTTAGCTACAGATAATCCCATTTTAATAATATACAGCTACTAACTTGTAACCATTGTGGGCGTTACCTGCATTACAGAGGAGTGTGATGGGGAGGTCTGCCAGAGATTATCTACTGGACTCAGAGAGCGCTTTCATTGGTAAGCTGCACACATTTCTACACTCTAAATAATTATCACTTTTGAACATATGGGTGCAGACACTTCGGGGATATCAGTGTCACAACACACCTGGAACTGAACTTATCAGAGCAAATTCTATGTGACCGTCTCATTGTTGTGAGTGACTGAAAGCTCACGTTACAGAGGGATGCCAGCCAAGTCAGAATAAAAGTTTACACAATCTCATCATCTATATGCTTTAATGTTTCTCCAAGTGAAAGGGAAAGTGCACCACTTTTAATGTGGCTGTATGCAGCCATGTTGAGGATGATTGAGGTGCAATCCCTCATCAGAACCATTTATTGCCAAGTTTGTTGTCTGGGGGCCTTTATTTAAGGCCTAACTGCAGACCGTAAGAAGCTGTTTGTGTGGCGGGAGATCTCGGTCCTGATGGACCGCAGCAGAGAACACTATAGACAAGGAAGTATTTTACCGTGTCTTGCTGACTCAGGTGTGACTCTGCTCCTCTAGCAGGAGAGCTCAGCTTCGTGGCTCCGCTTTGAACTCGCTGAGGAATGTATTGCTTCATTTGACTCCATCTCCCATTGATGTGGAAATCTGATCGAGTTCCAGATCAATCCGCGCTCAACTTTGTGTACCGAAGAGTCCAGGGACTGATTTAGGCTTTTTCTATGTTTATGTCTACAGATCCCCTTGGCGAGGCTTTACCAGCGCGGCACACCCCAGAAGCGGATAAAGCCCCCCCGCTGTCAGCCAGGGAGAGGAGGCGGATGTCCAAACGGCCACAGCACCCTCAGGTGGTGGATCTAGAACGCGATGGACATGTGGACTGTGAGCTACACCGGATAAACTGGGGCAACGCTGTAACAGCTACTCTACATGTCCTCTGGCTTTCAGGAGCGAGACTTCCAGCCGGCCCTTCAGCCGACAGGACGACTACGCCGCCCTCGCAGGTGACGGACAGGAAGCGGAGCCCGGCGGCCAGAGGGGGAGTCCAGACGGAGCAGGACATCTGATATAGAGCATTCATTTGTGTATCTGTTTTTTGTGTTTTTGTTTCGTCATGTTTTTATTTTACTTCATTAATACAAAGTGTATAGAAACTAAATAAATACAAGTATTTTAATCTTTTAAATATGTTTCATTTAGAAGTAGTTGATTTTATGACACCATATGTTAAGGGGAGTCCTCAGGAAATGGCTAACTCCCATTTTCTCACCACTGGATGGCGGTGGTGTATTACACAGAACTGACTGAAGAACTATAATTTTCCTCTTTCCAACAATAAACTTCAGGCCGTGAGATATTCAAACACATGAGGCCAGTGAGCGTGATTAAAAAGAAATTAAAAGGGAAGCAACTTGTCCTTGTAGAAATCCCCCAAACTCCCTCCTTCGTCGGCTCTTCTCTTGCCTCCGTTCCTCCTCAGGGCCAAGCCACAAAGCATCAAACCATATTTTGGATCAATTGTTTGATCATTGCGTACATTACTGCCCAATTTAGCTGAAACGCACACACTTCTGCTGCCTATCCCTTATATTACCTTGGGGATGCAGCAGACAAATGACTGTGCTACTCGTCTGCCAACCCTGAGTCTCGGAAGGGTGTTTTTGTGTGTGTGCGTGTGTGTGTGTGTGTGTGTTACGGGAGAAAAATACAAATTGTTGAGGGACACGGGGAGACTGAGGGGAGCATTGCCAAGATTGTGGCCTTCTGATTGATAGAAGTGAACATCCTGCAGAGTTATGGATTTTTGACAGACAAGATCGTTTGCTTCCACTATGTTGTTCAGCAGACCAAATACGCTCCCTGGTAAAATGAAATCTGTTATTTGGCCAAGTATGGATTTCTTTTCCTGTCGGGGTACAGCATCGGCTAAGAAAAACCGAGTTTGAATCTGCAAAGACGAGGAACCTTTAGTTAAAGAAAGCCAGACAAATGTTTAAGATCCGTATTAAAAGTTTGCATGGAGACTGAGCTTAGGTAAAGCTTAATTTGCGGTAAGCAGCAACTGCTGGTTCACACACTGGAAAACTGCTTCCTCCAGTCACATTAAGAGCAGCTTTATACAGCTCAAAGGAAAAATGTAAAAAAAAAAAAAAATGTATTGGATCCCTTTCAAAAGTCTAAAAATGCTACATGACGATGATGATAGCCCAGAGGAAGAATGACATTTCTGGTTTATTTTTATTTTTTATGGATGTCCGTATTAAAATTTTACGTCTTGCATCAAGTTGTTCCTTTGATTAACAACAACAACAACAAAAAAGCCACTAGGTTGCTCTAATGAATTCTGAGAAATCCCTTCTTGTAGTGCTGATTATTTCAAAAGGAACTACCCGGAAGTTTGTTAAGCAGCTCTGCCTGACCTGTCTGTGTGTCATTACAAAAAAAAAGGACTTTTCCATATATTCTGCACTGAGATTCAACTCTATCTCCCAAAAGTATCCCTTGAAGTCGGGTGAGAAAGGAGATGGGGATGTGAAGGAGTGAACAATGCAGACCCCGAATCAACGGACATCTTTGTATTTGGGTGTGAAAGGCAGAAGCAGGGGCAGACCCCTTAATGGTGGCAACGTACCCGCCCAGTCGCAGCGTGGGCCAGCCGATGCGTGAAAGAGGGTCGTCGTGGCGTGGGTGCGCTGGGAACCACAAGGTTGGTGGTTCGAGTCCCGGCTGCCCCATGTCTCAAGTCGAAGTGTCGCTGAGCAAGACACCTAACCCCTAATTGCTCCCCGGGCAAAATGTAAAATGCCATGGGTTTAAAGTGTAATGTAAGTCGCTTTGGATAAAAGTGTCAGCTAAATGACCTGTAATGTATTAATAATAAAGAGGAGAGGAGTCAAGGCCAACGAGGACACCTGTCATACCTTCCACCTCCATGAGGAGAAGAATTCCTCAATTGGGTTAAGGAAAGGAGAGTATGGGGGCAAATACAGGCTGGTAAATTGTTCATGGGGCTGAAACCATGCTTGCACCATTTGAGCATGGTGGATCCTAACATAGGTCACACCATCAGCTCTACCTCCATCAAGGACAGTTACAAGAAGAGCTGCATTATATGAGCCAATGCAAGGCCTGCGCCCTAACACACACATCTTTGTGAATAGCTGCACACATGGTGATGTTGGCCCCACGTTGTCCAGGTACTTGGACTTAGACGGGCCTGCAGCATGGTCTGAAAAAGTGGTACATGGGACCGTAGAAACAGTGTCTGATAGAGAATGATGATCAAATATTACATCCACAGATAATGTAGTCCAACTGGTTTATGTTCCACGCTAATTGGTGTAAATGGATCTCATTATTTTGAAACTTTATGATCTAAACAATATTGTCAGTATACATAAAACTATGCACTAAGGGTTATGCAGCAAATACTTATCAATTGATAGTTAGATCATTGTAATGAAACGAATGGACAATCATTACAACCATAATGTAGGAAGTGCATTTTGAAATAGTAGTACTTTGATGTTACATCTAGTTGTATTGAACAGGTGATTTTAGTTCAATGAACAAATGATCTTTGGTTTTTGTGTATTGTATCCAAGCTATTTGATCATTGGTTGTGTGTTTTTTTTATCAAGCGTTTTAAAAAAATTACATCAATGTTCCGAAATAGCGGCAAAGTGATTGTAAAAAACTGTAAATGCGGCAGAGAGATCGCAGTGTAGTGAGGAGGAGAGGTGGGAGGAGGAGAAAGAACTTGCAGGCGGCCGGATATATCCTCAAAGACTGTCCTATTACGGCTGGGGAGCTGTTTTTGTTTGTGTTTGTCTATTCCTGTTTGTATTCTTCCACTCTGCTTCTTCCCATTACTGTTATTGATATCTTTCTCGTAGACAGACAATCCCATTAGAATCACTTTTGAATAGAATGTTAAATGAACAGTCCATTTCATTTGTCGAACAGTTTACTTATCGTTATTGTTCTATCTATTTTAGGAGGTGTGCCGCAGAGAGAGCTTGTGTGTGTGTGTGCCTTGAAGGGTTATTGTGTGGATTTTGACTCCTTATTTAATAGTCCATTATAAGCCCATTACTGCAGCCTCATGGCCCCACTCTTTTTATTGGGTTTCTCTTCATGGTGTTAAGTAGCTAAACAATGATAGCATATTGGGCATCAGCTTGAGCAGAGTTGCTGGACTCTTAAAGACACTGGCCAGCTGTTTTTCAGGACAGAGAGACACCACGACCATCAAATCTTCAACCATTTTGTATCCAAACGTCTGAAACAATGGGATTCATTTACATCCATTTGCTTAATAAGATGTATAAATATGCTGCCTAAAATACACCACTCCTGACACAAAACGAAATCTTGTAAACAATAGATTAGTGTTGGGGAAGTTGTTTCTAAAGATTGGAAAAAAACCAATCACTTTTATAACAAACCTTTAATCTCTTTTGAACGTTATTTAAGAGGTGTGAATTTGTAGGGAGAATTTTAGGGGTAGTTTAAATAGATGCATAGGCAACAGCCAACTGGAAGTAGGATGCAAAACCACCTGCCTGCGGTAGCTGCTACACCACTGATGGCTGGCAGTAGGACAAAGGCAACCCACCCACTGAATATTTAGTCAAGACGTACCAATCCTGTCGGCCCGTCTTTGTCTGGCAATCGCTCTGGTCTGGAAGGGGCAGCTGGCACCTGGGATGGCAGCAGATTTTATGGCATGGTGTTATTCTTGAAATCTATCTCATAAAAACCATCCACTCCCAGTATCAAAACAATCTAAAGTGACCTGCTCCCCAGTCACCGCAACTGGAGGCGTAAAATTATTTGATAAAATTGTGAATGTGAAACCACTGAAAATACAATACACGGCTGAAAAATGACTTCCTTGGAACCCACAGTTTTATAGTTTTAAATGAAAAGATAATAATTTTCGTACTCTTCATCAGCAGATCTCAGAGTGCGACAGGGATGGTAAAACATAGTTAAAATAGGGAGAAAAAAAACGTAAGAACTCCTTCCGGAATAAGGTTTAGAGGCCAGTGACCATACTGCCCTCAGACCCAGATGAGCGAGCTTCTTGCAGAACCGAGGGTGCGAGTGGAGGTTTTGGGAGTGAGTAGTCCTTGCAAATAGGGAGATGCATGTCCATTTATAAGTGAGTACTAGAACTTGGTAGTTAATCCAGAATGAGACAGGGAGCCAGTGTAGGTTGGGTGTTATGTGTTAATATTTCCGGACTCTCATCAGGATCTTGCCAGCGCTGTTTTGGATGTATTGTAGTTTCAGGATATTCTTGCCAGTGATTCCAGTTAAAAGTGAATTACAGTAGTCCAGTCTTGAGGAGGTAAAGGCATGAACAAGCTCTGCATCTGACAGGGTAAAAGTGGGGCGGAGTTTGGAGATGTTTTGCACAGGTATTTGATAAGATCTGTCACAAGGGGCCAATCTGTGGCTTTTATTGGCCAAATGTAGTGTCCTCCGATAGTATAGAGGGAGAGCCAAGCAGCTGACAGGAGACAGCTATAATGAGTTCAAGGTCAGAGCGCTTATTTGTGGTCTGATGCTGATCCATCAATTTTTAAATTGTTCTTAATAATGTAGATTTTTCTACAATTAAAGTTTAAACATTTCATATTTTCAGGTAATATGCAGCGGAGGGTGCTTCCTGACGATCTTTTAAGTGGAGCAGCTCCAGGTTTTGTCCAAGTGTTTGTCATTATGAAGCATCAACAAAAGGGCAGAACAGCAATAGCTCTGCCTGGCCTGGGTGTAATTCATCAACACGCATCATGAACTGTGTGTGTGTCTCAGAAGTGATTAGGGAGTGTTTTTCAGCTCTCAGACATTGTCATGAAGGAGCGAATTCAAACAATGCTCCTTAACACAAACACTGCCCAGCACAGTTTGACCCTAGTCTGTTGTCATTAGGATAACTTGTTCATTAAGAAGAGCTTCTCTAACACTGAGACACAAACTATCTCTATAGATTTAAGGCATTCAACAATGTCCATTGGACTAAAGGCACAGCCCTCTGGATGTGGTGCCACTCGAGCACTTTTCTTGACCAACACCACCCCCTTGGCTAATCCCGATGCGTCTTGGAGTACTAGGCTTCCAACCACCTCTCGGACCAACCAAAAAAATTAAAATTTAAAACAATTTAAAAAATAAGAACATAAAAATAGATGAAAATAAAAAATGTTGGTTCTGATTACCCACCTTTCCTGGTAAGATTGTTTTCTTCCCCCTTTAAAGGGTATAAAACCACAATATATACAGAGCTGCCATCTCCCACAGTTTCGCCGTGTGACACATGCTTTTGAATGTTTTCACAAGCACTCACGCCACACATCCAATTTCTCACGCAAAAAAGATATCTGATTTTGGTCCGAGACGCATTAGCGCCATCTACCCTGGGGGAGTTTGAAAAGGAACTAAGGAGCGCATCTGTAACCCTATTCACTGCATAGGCATTCTTTCTCAATGTCCAAGACAGCAGATTTACATTCCCGGGAGAATAAGCTGTGTCTCAAAGTCGCTAGGCTGCATCCATGTAGCCTGCAGCCTTTGCAGTAGACCTGCTGTGTCTGTGGCTGTGTCCTTCAACAACCGCATAGGGTGAACCAGCAGTCTCTGAAATGGAACGGTGTGGCCTACTGCGACTTCCTGCTTGCGTCATCAGCTTTTCCTCCGCAGCTCCTCTTGCCTAGCAACCTGTCTTAAAAGATAAACAAATTGCAAAGTACAGAAAAAGAATAATCTTATTTCATTTAATTTAGGAAGAAAAGCTTTATCTCCAGAGCATGATATATTTCAGGCTGAGAGAAGAACTTCAACACAACTAAAAGTTATAGTTTATAATCACACAAAAAACAAAAAGGAGCAAAGCGAGTTAATTTTCTTTGTACTTATTCTATAACGTTACTGGTTACTGACTTAGAAAGTGATATTTTAGGCTCATAGTTAATAACTATACGGGTGGATGCGGGCAGATGAGCTGCCACTAACTGCGCAGTTGCTTCTGGTAATGTGAGCTGCTCGTTGTGTGTTTTATATATATATGGCAAATCTTAGCTAATTAGCTAATTTTGCTGTGACACTTTAATTCATATGCTGTCCATTTCTTCTGATCCTCCTTGATATGGCTCCTTCATTGAAGTCCTGCTGTGTTTAATTAAACTGACTGATATTTGCAAAAAATATCAGTCAATTTGCAATATTTCATTTTGCAATATTTGAAAAAATTGTTTTTTTCTGTACCCACTGTGTATGTATGTGTGTGTGTGTGTGTGTATATCTTTTTTGCTGTACATAAATTATTAAGTGCTCTTAATAATACAATTATTAACAATGGAGGTTAGGTTTTAGTTAAGAATTGGTTTAATATCAAAATGTCAAATCTCAAACAGGTCTATTAATTAGGGTATATTGTGGTTCATAGACATTGAGGCACAACAATAGTTTTCTGGTTGAATGTTCAGCTCAAGTCTAGAAGGCCCTACAAGTCATGATGAACACGAATGCGAATCCGGTCAGGTATTGCGCATCTTTAGCATACCACCCAAAAGTTGACTAGAATGCAGGGAATAACATCTACTTAAACCAAAATGTTCTACGTCTTTTCTTCACAGAATGTAACCAATGTAATTTATGTAACCATCTCCAGTAGGCTGCCGCAATTGATGATATTGGGCCCCAGAAACCACCAGATTGCAGGGCACAACACGGCTACAACGCCAAATTAATTCCAATTCCCTGATATTTGAGCCACAAACGTGCGTGGCTGTGTGCGTGGTAAAATTTGGTCACTCCCGACAAAATCTCACCCCAAGGTTTTTTGAAAAGTTGGCAGCTCTGTATATATTCTTCTTCCAAGTGGTTCAACTGAAAAAGCTCTGGCTCTTGCTGGTGGCCAAACAAACCACATTGTATTCTTCTCCCAAGCAGTTCAACAATTTGGCTCCATCTTCTAGCCCAACGCAAGCAGAAAAAACTCTCACGGAATACTTCCGTTCGATTACCCAGCTTTCCTGAAAAAATTGTTTTTCCTATAAAATGGTCATGAAACCACATTATACTTCATTTGGGTACTCTCACAGATGGCACTCGCTCCTGTCTCAGCAGTCTTACACACAAGGTCTGCAGCACGACCGAGGAGGTAATCTCGATTAGTGGCTTCCATGGGTTTAAAGTTAGGAAATCCATCCTAGATCGTTCTCTTGGAAAATATCCGTTGAAGGTTAAACCCTAAAAAAATGTATTTAGGACAACATATCCCTGGGGCCATGTGGTGTGTGTGGCAGAGGGAATGTTATAATATGACGGTTTATATTTCATCCTTAGCCTAGCTTTAGCTAAAATAGCCTCCGATTACTTTCTCTTAGCCTCTCATCATTTTTAGCTAAATTACCAAGTTTCACTAGTAGAGCTCTATTCCACTCCAAATTCATTCCTGGTGTCAATTTTTGGCAATGTTGCTAATTGGCTACAGACTAACCTGATGTTCCTGCAGGACCACTATAACGTTGCCATACAGGATCATGCCACTTTGCCACCTCGACTGGCAGCAAGTGTGGATTGTGGCTAAAGAAGAAAATCTGCCATCTAGACCCAGAGGTTCTCCAGACTGCGGCGGAAATAAACAGCCTGGTACAAAAAACTGTTTGGATTTTTAAGGCTTACATTTCTATATAAATCCTGATTTAATGTTGGGCATAATTGTGGGGGTGGCCACCTTTACTCATTTTAAGAGTTGAGTCTTCGCCAAAGACAGTAAGGTGAGGTAGTCATTATCACCCATTGGTTTGTGGACTGCCTTTTTGAAGTCTCTATTTTGGCCATCGCCAGTCTGGATATGGCTGTAGCCATATTTCTGGAAACTTACAGAAATTACCAAATTTGAAATATGAAGGAGTAACATAGTGGCATTGTATATGGCTCTCGTAGCTGTTGTTCTTGATTAGCTTACTAATCAATCACAGTAAGCTTGTCCTAAAACATACCCTGCTTTATGGTCAGACTCTTGAGTTACCATCGTGTACTAAATGACATGCTCCTTTTGAGCTTCAAAAAAAGCTTATTTTAATATGGTGAAGCCACAATTTTTCATATCAGAAGCATCTGTGCCTTTAAATTTCAATGGAAGTAACAAAGAGGAGAACAGAAGCGGGCTAGAGAGAGGGTAGGTGGTGAGATAATCATTCACAAAAACTCACTATGCTTCACCCCTTCTCTCTCCCTCTCTTAAGAGTAAATGAATGTCTTCATTATTAATATAATTAACTGTGGTACTGCTGTTCGGAGGCTGTACATGGGAAAACCCAAGGAATGGGAAATTATCTTTGAAAGGGGATGGACTGACAAAGACAGGCGAGAGCCTGTTTGTGCTTAAGTGTGAAAATGAGACTGAATTAGAACTAAAGAGAGAGAACGAGCCTCATCCATTTGAATAAACTGCAGGTCTTCCCGTCCCCCAGGACCAATACCTCCCCCCGCTCGGATTAGATTAGATTATATGCCGCCTCTGGTCACGGAGCGGTTTGTTTTTGTAACTAACTAAATGCAGCCCAATATCACTAATTTTGCCACGAGGGATTGCAATGGACTTGTTAGTTATAGAAGTAAGGGAGGTATTTTTTGTACTAGACAAGTATTCACAGTATTCGGTTTGTTGATTTAAATGGACAAGTCCACAAAACAGTGCTCCTCTGCAAGAGGAACGCTTAATATTTTCAACACTTTATATTTTGGAAATAAAATAAACAAGAAAAAAAAGCATAAAGAATGACTAATTGTGTGGGGATCTCCGTCATCTTCGGTCCAAAAGGAATCAACTCATCAGTAGGTGTCACTGTCAGCTAACAAATGCCCATTGATCAACTAGTATGCAGAAAACCCCTCTGAATGAAAATTAGCTTATATATAAGTATAGCTATAAACTAAAAATGTTGAGCACAATGTGAATCAGTGATAATCCCATCTTTATTAAATCAAGAGGGTTTCTTTTTCTGACCAGATGGCATTCTTTGCTACATTTGTATAATAATTCACAACAAACAAGAACACCTTTTTAAAAAGACGGCGACACAGTTTCACTTTAGGAATTTTGGGGCGCGCTGTGTAATGTTGAGAAAACACATAATGTGCTGGCCAGCAATTATAACAACTGGTCTATTTGATCATGGGCCATTACTGTAGAAACCCACAGTGGAATTATACAAAAGTATTGGCGTGGTGGATGACATTTGCATGGCGAGTTTGTCCCTTCAAAATAACAACATGGCTCACACATTCAGTTCCACTGGCAAGGACCACGCCATCAGGAGCCTATAAAAAAGGTAGAGAAAGAGGAGAGCAAAAAAATACCATAAGCTTTCCGTTTTGTAACAGAAGTTTGTGTTTTATAATTCTCATTGTCCAGACTGTCCTACCATAATATTAAGTGCTAGAAGGTCTACTCTCCGAAGAAGAAAACCGCAGGTGAAGTGTTGGATTCTTCAAAATTTGGTACACCTTAATGAATAGACCCAGTTTTGTTCCATAAATGCTGGGAACTGATAGAAGCCTGTGTTCCCTAAATGAACCACTGACCTATGTCATTGGGGAGAAATTGAACTGCATAACGCTGGAGGGATATCATTTCCCCCCCCGCCCCCATACTAAAATGGATTGTAGCTCCCCCTTGGTGTGGTTGAAGCAGCCTGAAGACCAATTCGGTCTTCGGTCAGACAATTGATGTTGAAGCAAGTAATTAGCATATCATTACGCAGACTATTTTAGGGAGGGTTGCTCTAACCTGAAAGAGACGTTATGTTGCCGGACCCTAGCAGGGAACATAACAAGAACAGCCAATAGTAAATAATTTATTGTTCTTGAACATGGTGGCAGCCAAACCAGCCACATGCTTCTTTTCCTCTCCCGATCCCCCCCGGATGTGTTTTAAAGGGGCCGGCTCTGATGGTGCACCCAATCAAGATGGATCCTCAATTAAGTCGTCTGCTGGGCTGCCTGCAAAAAAGATACACAGGCCACCAACAATGGTCAGGGATGTAACACCCCCGCAACTAAAAATAAACATGTACAAAAACCTGAAATTTAGCAAACCTTATTGACGTGTGCGCGACAGAGTCCGCCAGAATGTTAGCACACCCCTTCTTAAAAAGAATTTCGAACCCTTGTAGGTAAAGTGACCACCGCATGATGCGCTGGTAGCAGTTTTCATCCTGGAAAGAAACACAAGGGGATTATGATCAGTATACACACAAACAGGTGCGGCAGTGGACGCAATGTAAACCTTGAAGTGCTGCAGAGCTAACAACAAGCCAAGTGCTTCTGTCAGCGGCCGAGGTTTTTTTAAAAACTAAAAGTGTGTTGACAACAACGCCACCTAGGTAAAAGCTAAGAGCCCTAGGAACTCAAAATAATTAAAAGCAAGGTTCGTTTGTTTGGAGGAGAGCAGGGAAACAATGACCCAAGAGGAGAAAGGGGCGGAAATACTAATAAAAATATTTATTTCAATACAATGATTAAAATATATAAAAGGAAGCTAAAATAGTCCGTCCAAACTCATCACCACAGTAGAGCGGAGTCCTGCGCGTCCATAGTCCACTGGTTCGTACGTGCGGCTGCCAGCTGCACTGCTGCTACTTCTGGTGGTATTTTTGGAGCGGAGGCCGAAAAACGCCCTCCGGATGGAACAGGTAAATACCCTCAGCTAGACATCTTGGCTTTTCGGCATTTAAAGGCAACAGCACCATTGTTGACCACCCATGTGGGGATGGAGAAAGATGAGAGGGGAATGGGATGAAGGAACAATTTGAGACGCAGAAAGAAGAAAAAAATATTTCCTGGGATGCTTTCATAGTCTATCATTTTCCATCCCCACACCTCAACACAACGCGCACACACACACACAACAGATCCGTAGCAGTAGTTGTCAAGCATGCGATGACCAGCAGTCCCCAAGCTCCCGAGATCCTCCTGGTGGTGGGTGGCGCATGGACGGGGTGGTCAGCCTGCAGCTCGGGGAGAGGGATGATGAGCCCAGAGGTGGAGAGATCCGGCGACGATGAACTCAAACACGATACGAAGCACGAGACTGGAACGCCGACAGGAACACGACACACTCGGGAGAAATCAAACAACGATCTGACAAGACAGTGCTTGGAATACCGTTGGACAACCCAAAGGGCATGACCAGGTATTCAAAGTGCCCCCTGGGGGTATTAAAAGCAGTCTTTCATTCGTCCTCTTTCCTGATGCGGACCAAATCATATGCATTACGTAGGTCCAACTTAGTCAAGATCGATGCTCCCTGAAACCTCTCTAAGGCTGAGGACATCAACGGCAACGGATAGGTGTTCTTCACCGTGATGCTGTACAGCCCCCGGTAATCAATACAGGGTCGCAGGGAGCCGTCCTTTTTCCCCACAAAACCACCCCCCCCCCCCCGCTGGAGAAGAGGAATGGCGGATGAACCCTGCTGCTAGAGGATCAGAAATATATTTCTCCAATGCTTCACTCTCTGGAGCCGAAAGTGAATATAACTTGCCCTTAGGAGATTTATCAGGTAATTACTCGATAGCACAGTCATAAGGGCGATGCGGGGGCAGGGAAGCAGCCCAAGACTTACTGAACACCTCCCTTAGACCGAGGTACTCCGCGGGCACGTTAGACAAGTCCACCGCCTCCTCCTGGAACACAGAGACAGAAACAGACGGACAGGCAGATACCAGACAGGACTCATGACATCTACCGCTCCACTCAGACACCGACTTCTGCTGCCATCTTGGGGTTATGTTGGGTGAGCCAGGGATGTCCCAGAACTACGGGAGCGAGCGAGCGGAGAGTCCAGGACATAAAAGGAAAGGGTCTCGGAGTGGTTGCCTGAGGTGATGAGTGTCATGGGTCCGGTGGTGAGCAAAATGTTGGGTAGGTCTTGACCGTTTAGTGCGTGAACCGATATCTTGTGGGTGAGGGGTAGAAGGGGAATATTAAGCTTGAGTGCAAGGGCATGGTCCAGAAAACTACCCTCTGGAATCCACCAGGGCTTGACAGTCGTGCGTGTGGCTTGACCATCTCAGTCTTACCGGAAGGAACGTAGAATTTGATGAGGTCTTCTCAGCGGAGATCCCACCCGACGGTAGCCTCAAACTTACTGCCGGGCTTGGCCTTTTACCAGGCAGTTGTACGCGTAATGTCCCGCTGCGCCGCAGTACAAGCAAAGGCCTTGGGACCGCCGCCTCTCCTTCCGGGAAAGCCAGGTTCTCAGGACCTGCATAGGCTCGTGATCGTAGCCGGAACGGACCGTGTCCCCGCCGCTGAACCGCCGATCCTCTCCTCCACAGGAATCCGGCTGGGCCCAGAACACTGCGCGACTGGATAGTCGTGCATCCACCCGAAGTGCCAGTCCAATTAGGTCGTTCAGGGTTGTGGGAAGGTCCAGATCTCCTTCTCGACCCGGTCAGCCGGCCCATGCAGGAACATGCTCGCTCAGTGGAAAATGTTCTGGGCTGGAGGGAAAAAAATGCATTGAACATCGTGTCAGAAATGCTCTGCAAAAGGATGGCTCACCGGATATGCGAGTGAAAACAACGTTTATTATGTCAGAGTCAATAATTGCAGTCCTCAAGCTTCCGAGATCTTCCTGGTGGTGGGTGGCGCATGGACGGGGTGGTCAGCCTGTACCCCGGGGAGAGGGATGATGGTGAGCCCAGAGGTAGAGAGATCCGGCGACAACGAACTCAGAAACACAGGAACACGATACGAAGCACGAGACTGGAACGCTGACAGGAACCCGACACACTCGGGAGACATCAAACAACGATCTGACAATGAGAGGAGGGACACGGTGAGAGTCTCATAGGGTGGCGAAACGAGCTACAGCTGGCCTGTCGATTACGCTGGGCTGCTGACTCCGCCCACTTCACACCCCCCCACATAACACAACAAACACACGAGACGAGGAGAGGGCGCTTCATGAACCTTGACAGTCAGTACACCTACAGATGAAACTTGAATTGCTGCTATAGCTTACGGTACTTGTTACAGCTGAAGCTGAGGAGGGAAGCAGGTCAATGCACACATGCATGCAGAGGGAGGGAGCCTAACAGATGATGTACACAACAGTGTAAAGTGTTAAATACAGGGAGCGATGCAACAATAAAAAGTTTTAAAAAATATATATGGCCCCGGTTCAATGTATTTGGTTGTATTTTCAGGAAATCTGCAAATTTTTCTTAAACGCCTTTTATACTTTTTGTGGATGTTGTAAGATTAAATGTTAAAAGTTGTCAGAGTTATTGGTTTGGAAATAACTATAGATCTATGGGCCATCAGACTAGGTTGTCCGCCACAATAATCCAACATAACTAATGAGACATTTCTCAAGAATACCATGAAATAATAACAAAGGCCTCCTCTTCTTTTAACGTGACATCTTGGCTGTGTATGTGCAGTTTCAGCCGATGTTGGTGGAGCATGCAGGTGGGGTTCTGGGGCTGATGGAAGCCCCCAAGGAACAATGCAAAGCTAAGTGTGGTGAGCTGCATTGGCTACAGCCTGAACTGGAGGTCATGTGATACTTCTGGTAGCTTCTAACGCCGTATCTAATTGAGTTATAGGTGTTGATCCTGCTGCTTTCTCCAGACACAACAAGCCAGTTTTGTAAAAGTTATTTCACCAAGGGAAGTTATCTAGTTTTGTGACATGTTGAACTCACCTTGCTGGAGAGTGATCAATGTTATTGCTCTGACCTGCAAATATATCATATACCATATACTGTATATATGGCCTCTTATCTCTTTGTAAAAAAGGTATTGAATGTAGTGCCTTTGTGTTTAAAACCGGCATGAAAGATTATTTTGATGACGTCCTTCTGTATGTAACAGATGTGTTTAGGGCATGGAAGTAGTCGACTCAGGTACTGATCTTTTCAGCATTTATTTGCTCCTGCAGAAGACAATAAAACACAGACATTGCCTTCTGGTCTCTGCACATCAGCTCCCTACACACAGGGTCTTCAACAGTGTAACACTACTGTGAAGGAAAAACGGGACTACGGAAGCCTAGGAGGCGCAGTAGAGATGAATCGCAATTTCCGCAAATTTGACTCATCAAAATAAAATTCACACACACACGTTCAACAAGATTGTTGAATAATAACCAAAAAAATAAAATACAATACTTTGAAAATGACAGTGTATTTCTAACTCCGTTACATTCACCCCCACTGAATTTTATCATAGATGAGCGCTCATCACCGATTGCACGCCATAGAAAACATTACAAATTGACAACTCACAAAGGGCCAACATCCAGAAAACCAACAAAAAAAATGTATCCCATAAGGATGAAGTGGTACGAGAGCAGCGCAGGCCTCTCAACCCAACAACTGGCAACAGGGTGCCTTGTACACCCCACAAGACCCAAACACAAAGTGCAATGCAGTACAGGCTCACGACAAAAAAAACAATAAGGACAGTGAAACATTATACCAACACACGTTTTTCAGCCATAAAGAGGCATAAGCCACCCACTCATAGTATTAAAAGGTAACAACCTCAAGCTATTCCTGGACAACATCCTGCCTGGACATAGTCTGTATAAGCCTATTCACAGGATTGATTAAGCGACCAAATCTTGACCTGACCTGCACATTAAAACGACCAGGGTGTGCGGGTGAGACCTGGACCACAGTATGCAAAGAATCAGACGTGTTATCTGTCTGTGTCATGGTATCGAGTGCAAAGTCTGACTGCCTAAGATCTGTCGAGACGTCCGCAGCAGTCGAAGGGCAAGAATAACAAGTCACAGATTGATCAGTGGTGCTGCCCTCAAGTGAGATAGTTGCGTTCTGGGGATCAGAAGCAACACTCATGTCAACAATGCACGCCTCAGCCAGGCTTGGCCCAGACAACTGAGTAATCCATTCAATGGTTCTGCTCTCCGAATCCACGGGCACCGCATCGGTCAAGGGACCCTGTCCGTCCGTCACAGTCACAGGGGACTCACTGTCACCTTCAGTGTCAAAGCTTTCACTAGCCACACTGAGAGACTCCCTCCCTCTCCCAGACGAGGTCTCTTCTGCCTCGCCACCATCATGTCCTGAAACGGAGGACCCCGTACCGAGCAAGGATGAGGCCAGATCTGATATGTCACATGTATCCCCCACAGGAAGAAAATTAACCAGCATCAGCAAGTTCCTGTGGACCACCTTCTCCCGTCCAGTGATTGTGTCGCGGATCCTGTATGTGTGTGTCTCTGTATTCACATCTACCACAGTGTAGACTGTCGAGTCCCACCTGTCAGCAAGCTTCTTTTTACCCCTCTCCTTCCTATTGGCCAGGAGCACCCTGTCACCGATGTTTAAATTGGATCCCTTTACTCTCCTGTTGTACAGCTGGGCATGTCGATTCTGCTCCTTTGTAGCATGAACCTGAGCAATGACCATTGCTTCCTTCAGATCGTTGGCGAGACTGGCCACATACTTCTCATAGCTCACCACAGCAGAGTCATGAAGAACAGCACAAAAGAGGACATCCACAGGTAGGCGGGGGATCCGACCAAACATGAGGTAGAATGGGGAGTAACCTGTCGTCTCATGTTCCGTACAGTTGTACATGAACGTTAAGGTCTGTAAGCGCCGAGGCCAGTCAG